TTAGGGGTAGCAGAAGTGACTCTTCTCCGGCTTTCATCAAAGGCCTCAGAGTATTCTTGTTCCAAAAGAACATGGGGTCGACGCGGGTGTGCAAAGGCACTTCGTCAGACTGCAACCTCGAGTCATTTGCCCATCGCCGAGTGATGTCGACATCGTACGAGAAGTAGAAGCTACGCGATGACCCAAAGAAGATCTGGGTCATTCTGAGAAGCTTTGGAAGCAAAGTCGACGTCGGCACGGGTTCGTCGGAGTCGTCTATGGCTGAACTAGAGGCCGCATTGGCAGCGGCAGCTTGATCGACGGAGCGACGAACCTGGTCCGCAGTGCCGCTCCATCCTGCATTCCTTTTCTGATCTTGAGTCCATCCACTCTTACTGAACCATCTCTGCGCGAACCTTCCGTAGCTACCTCTTCTGCCAATTACATCCTTTGCGACAGTGCTTTTAACAGGGTCGGCTCCATTCTTGGTCGGCGCATGATCCTCAACTTCGTCACCGCTGGCAGGGAGCTCGACGAAGTCGTCGCTGTCGCTATCGTCGGCGTCCTTATCCGTCTTCCTCTCCTCGAGGTGAAGTGCCGTCTGTGCGATTGCATCGCTAGCGTCCTTCTGGGAGGCGCAAGGGGTGACGGCAACTTCGGTGACGACGTAAATCGGGCAACCACAAATCTGCGCAACCTGTTGTCGTCGGGTAATCGTGATCAGGTAGCTGAGTCTCGAGACCGTGATCAGTCCTGGTCGTCGGCCATGGTCAGCTTCGGATTTGCGTAGCTGGAGCTGTGGCTGGGGAGCTCGGGGCACAAACCTATAACGCCGAAGGCCTCAAAAGAGGAATTTGGCTGGGAGAGATCGGGGATCTGCTCGCGAGATGCAGGGGTTATTGCAGAGTCGCCATATTTGATCCTGACCGGTTGCGCGGGGCGTTGTCCTTTGGTCACGAATGGCTGGATTATCAGGCCGTCAACCGCAGCGCAGATGATGATCTTGCGTGCGATACCGGGCATTGTGCGATGCGGGACCACACAGGGCGTGCGTGCCAGAAGACGACGGAAACTATTCTAGGGAAAAGTCGAGGCCGTTAAAACTGTATGCAAAAGAGCCATGGATAGGGAGTAGTGCGAATTATTTGTCGGATTGGACGGATATTCAAACATTAACAGTGTTGGTCTGTAGGTGGGTTGGCGAGCATATCGCATGCAGGGGCAGAATGAGACGTTTTGGGTGCTGCGAACTGCTGATGATGTCGCCCAAATGGAACATGTAGCTATGACATGGGTGGTGGGCCGCGGGGTAACGTCAGTCTGCAGTTGCCCAGCGCGAGTCCAGGTCACGCCCGAGACACCGGCCCGATGAGTGGCTCAATGAGGTGGTTTGTCAGGTCAGGCCAGGTGCATCTGGTCCAGCGCTGTGTCTTCCAATGGACCATCGTCTGCTAGTGCTGGTAGGGTCGTTGCTGCGTTCTGAGCCGTCATTCGCTCGTGCGCAACTCAGCACATTTGCACTGGAGCTTCAAGCTTTCCGTCCAAATGTCCACATTTCTTCAGCTGAGGCATTGGACGCAGGCGGGCAGCCTCCGTCCCTCCCAACTCAAGCTTTCCCACTAGCTCATCCCGACTCATTTCACTTGTAGCTGCATATTCAGGGCACATTGCATTTCAAGTTTTTGACGATCTCGATTGACGCTTGTCCGCGGTTTGTGCATGGACTAACCATGCACTAGACCCCAAGAATAACTAGTCGACGCCTATCAACAATTGAGACTATTTTTCAAGTATTCAGGCTGCTGCAGCTTGACATTGGACCAAAGATTTCTGTCCGTCTTAACCACTAACATCCAAACTGTTTCCAGCGCATGTCCAGTCAAACATCAACGCCGCCCAATATTCTTTGTCATGGGTATCTTAGATGGCGAGTCTCTCGACCTTGTCCTTCAGAGCGCGGATGGGGCCGGCAAGCTCGCTGCCCTCGTTGGAGGTGATGGAAGCGGCAATGACGGCGCGGGAGACACCGCAGGCGCGGCCAAGGGCGGTCTTGGACTTGACGTAAACGTAGGGGACGTTCTTGTCCTCAGCCAGGAGAGGCAGGTGAAGAACAATGCTGAGGGGGTTGGTATCCGCGGCGAGGACGATAAGCTCGGAAACACCACGGTTGAGGGTCTTGGTGGCCTCGTTGGCTGTAAGAAGAAAGTCAGCAGCTGTTCGGTGGAGGCCAAGGAAGGAACGCAGCTGGTGGCTTCAGAGAGACAGGAGAAGTCAACGGAGTGAGACGGCTCGGGGACAAAACTTACCGCCCTTCTTCAGCTGGCGGTAGTGGGTGCACTGCTGAACCATGTCCAGAATCTCCTGCTGGAGAGCATCGTCGGCCAAAGGCCAGGCAGCGGACTCAGACATTGTTGCGGTGAGTGTCGAGAGATGTCTGCGAGAGAAAGTCAGAGTCTGTTGGTACAATCCCAAGCAGGACAGTTCGAGTGCTGCGTACCAAAGATATAAGGTGCAGGGTTCCTTGCGGTGGCTCGCCCTGGTCGTGAGGTCGAAATTCGTGATGAACGCGATGAAGAGATATCCAAAACTTTTTTCCTCCGAAAAGCGTAAGAAAAAAAAAATCCCACTTCCCCAAGCTTAACGGCAATTGCCGTTGGAGAGTGGATCTTGATGCGACTGGAGTGGAGCTCTTCGGAACGCAGGTTCTGCCGTGCACCGCCTCATTCCATCAGGTGCCTCTCCTGACTTACGTAAGTGCACGGAGCTGTCAACGCGCCGCAAAACCTTGCAACCAACCAGAAGGCCAACCTGGAAACCAGATCTTAACACAGCACACCTCATCTCGAGCCGTCGCCGAAGCAGCAGTCGAACCTCGCCCGTCCCAACCAGCCATCACCGCAATCGTCCGCAACCCACTCTTCGCCGCATCTCCTTCAGTTCCCGACCCTCTCTTCATCTTTTTCTTTCGACTACCCCGTCTTCGACGTTAATTAAACCGCCAAGATGCCTTCCGAGCTTTGGTACGTCAACAACACAGCCCGTGTTGCCCCCGTCCCGACAACAGCTCCCTATCCATCGCTCAGAGCTCCCAAGTCCATCCATCTCGCGCCCCAACATGCCCATCTAGCTTCATCATGTCTGTCTAAAGCTCATATGCTAACGCGATCATGTCACAGCCCCGTCTATGCGGTTCGTCATCCCTGTGCCCACTCGAGTCAACGATCCATGACGTCGCCTCCCCCCTGCGTCCATTCGAATGAGCCATTTGGGCATCGCCGATACATCGCGTCCGACAATCATCGCTAACATGTCATTAGCCCTTCTTCGGTGCCATGGGCTGCACCGTCGCCATCGTCTTCACCTGCCTGGGTGCCTCTTACGGTACCGCGAAGTCCGGTGTCGGTATTTCGGCTATGGGTGTTCTGCGCCCTGACCTGATCGTCAAGAGTACGCGAATCCGCATCCATCGAACCGTCGTCCGCGACGCGCCTTACGAATTTAGGACGTTACTGACAGTTTCGCGATAGACATTGTCCCTGTCATTATGGCTGGTATCATTGCCATTTACGGTCTCGTCGTGTCCGTCCTTATCTCCGATGGTCTCCAGCAGGAGATGTCTCTGTACACTGGTTTCATCCAGTTCGGCGCTGGTCTCGCTGTCGGTCTGGCCGGTCTTGCTGCCGGTTTCGCCATCGGTATTGTTGGTGACGCTGGTGTCCGTGGAACTGCTCAACAGCCTCGTCTCTTCGTCGGCATGATTCTGATTCTCATTTTCGCCGAAGTCTTGGGTATGCGACGCCCCTTGCTTTCTGAACTGAAACCTGTTTACTAACGAACGTGCCCCAGGTCTCTACGGCTTGATTGTTGCCCTTCTCATGAACTCCAAGGCCAGCCAGGACGTCACCTGCTAAACGACGACAAACCCAACGACGAAAATGCTCGGTTGAACGGTTGACAAGATGTACTTACGCCACAACTAGCACGGGCATGAAATTGCCACATCATGGGCAACGACAAGATTATCATCAGCAGGCGCGTCGAAATACTCGAATCGAATCAGGTTTTATGGCATAGGCGTGGAAAACGGTCAAAGGTCACGAGATGCCAATGTTTTGTTTGGACGGTCGGGGAAATGCTTTCCCCGTCGGATGTCAAACTTATATGTACTATTGTGCCATCACAGGTATGCTATCCATTTCTGGGGGCGGTTGCTCAGCATAGACGGTGGTGGGGATGGAATTGTAGTCTAGGTTGCGATAATGCTTTCTTGCGTCTACTTTGATTATTGGTCCTCTACCGGTGATGTCTGTGTCAGTGTTCCCCGCAGTGATGTTGTGGTAAGCTCAACCAGACGACGATTTGGGGTGTATGACGTCTTGGAATTTGCGGCGAACCTCGACCCCGAAAGCAGCACACCAAACCAATTGGTTATGCCAGGTCGGAAGGAAACGACAAGCAATCGTGCCAGGTCAACTAATTGGGGTTTTTGTTTTTCTTCTAGCAATACTACTTGGTAATGGGGACCACTAGATTCTTGAGGGGACTTCTCAACGTCCTTGGCTTAGGTAAATTGGCTTTTGTCCTCGTTCATCATATGTAGTATTTTTGCCATGGCATTGCAGTTGCTGCAACATGTGACGAGGCATGGTCTCTCTGAATCCGCATAGTCTCCTCTTCTTGTAGAAGGAAGGCTTTGAGAGATTTGTCGGTCACAGGCAGAAAACAGCAAAGTCCGGGAGCAGTAAGTAGTGGTTACAACAATAGTATGCTCGCGGTGGATTGAATCAAACCTAGTGAAGTCCTGATTGAAGTTGTATAAACTCTTGTGATTCTCGAGTGAGATTTTCGCTGTGCTCAAGCTTCTCTTTTGATGGGGGGATTTCGAGGTCAAAAAGACTCAGAGCGATGGATATCACGATGATGACGGCGATGGAACACTCCATTTTTCGTTACCTGCTCGCTATGAACGAACTCACCTGCATACGTCACGTCCATCCGGCCTTTCAAAACACCTAACCTCTCTAGTTCTTTGCCTCCGCCGTGGGCTCTGCCGTGGCAGCCGCAGCCGCAGCAGCGGGAGCCTCCTTCTTGGGGAGCAGGCCGCGCAGGGACAGGTCGTAGACGACGTCCTCGACACGCTTGACGTCGTACTTTACCGCGTCGACACGCTTCCTCAGGATGTCGTTCTTGAGGTTGAGGAGCTGGAAGCCGGCGAAGAGGTCCTTGACGAAGGCGCTGATCTCGACGGGCATGGCGAAGTCGCCCATGGTGACGGCGTTGGTGGCCAGGCGGGAGAGCTCCTGGGTCACGTCGGTGAGGGCGAGGAGGTACTCCTCGATGGTGAGGTGGAAGGCGTCGCGGTCCTTGAGGTTGACGGGGACTGTTGGGGGCGGTCAGCTGTCGTTGGGATAGGTGTTGTGGGATGGCTAGGAGGCGAGGAGAGTGTGCTTGGTACGCACCCTTAAAGATCTCGCCGACCTCCTCGAGGCTGAGGAGGCGGGCGACGGGGCCGGGCTTGCCGTCGGCGGTAAGGCCGCCGAGCCAGCCGCAGAGGAGGACGGTGAAGATTGCGTTCTGGACTTGACGGTTCCACTTCTGGTTGTACCTGTTGAAATGTCAGTGACGTGCCTGGCGGAAGGGAGTGGATGGGAAGCGGCCTACTTGTAGTAAGGGTACTTGGAGGCAATCTCCTGCAGCTCGCCGATGACCTCGACCTCCTTCTGGATGCCCGTTTGGACGTCCGTGAGCAAGGGACCATCTGGGAGCGTCCGTCAGTCTGTGTGGCCATAAAGGTTGCTGCCATGTACTGAGGACTCACATTGCTCGCGCGGGGTGGCGTGAACGCGGGACAGCAGGCCCTGGACGTAGGAGATGGCCCTGTCAAGCTTCTGGACCGTCTGGCTCATCTGATCCCTAACCAGCTGGTCCTCATCGATCTTATTCTTGAGGTGCTCGAAGATTTGGGGGTCGAGCAGACGGGAGGCGGGGACCTCGCCCATGTTGGTGTCGTTGTCCATGGCTGGCGTGGTGTCAGTACGCTGGGATGGGCTTCTACAGAATAGCCACCGTTGGGGGCAACGATGAAAGGATTAGATTGAGAGGCAGCAACGTCACGAAGAGAGACGGTAGATACGAGAGATGGTGGTGAGATTGTTGTCGTCGGTGGACTGTGTTTGCCCTGCGATTTTGCACTTGCCATAACGAGGCCAAAAAAAAGAAATCAGAGTTTTCAACTCACCTCGATACGAATATTTTCGCTTGACCAGTTGGATGTTCCAGCAGAGCAGAAATCAATCGACAATTCTTGGGCCGTCACCTGGAAATATGTGATACGAATCCTGGGATGAGATTCTTACAATTCAGACGTCGTGCAAGGATGGGCAAGGCGGTCACTGCAGGCGAGTGGAGGGACGGCGGGAGAGACAAGGATCAGCGTAGAGCAGACGGGGTGCGGCTCAATTCTTGGGATATTTGTTTGCAGCAAATTACACAACATCTCAGCAATTCAACAACGTAAAAATCACCAAAGTTCGGAAGGGAGCAGAGGAAACCTTCTTCACAGGCCTGGGCGGAACCAGACACAGCAATGAAAGTCGAGAGGGGTTCGCGTCTCCTGGAGGCAGTGAAATACCAGGGACACGGTGGGCATGAGGGCATACGGCAAGCCGCAGAGGCCACTCTCCCGAGAGATCAAAAATAAGAATAATCACGATTGACCTCCGTGGAGGTCTTTCAGAGATTAAACTGAAAAGAACAGATACTACACTTGATCTAAGCCAAAAGGCAATAGAGAGCTAAGGAGAAGAAGAGGAGAAAAGGTTGAAAACGGGCGGACGATGGGAGGTATTTTATGCCTTTCCTGGGTGGCCTGTGCGGGGCCCCCGATCAGCCAGGGTACGTACTCCAGGCAGCAGTGAGGCCAATTTTTTGCGGGAAGGAGTGTACAGGTACGTAGCTCACCCGGCGAGCACCTTCTGCTGATTGGACGGTAAATCATCACGAGGTTGAGAACGAGAAAGTGCTCCTTCTGTTTGCTTGCCTGGCTGGGTATGCCGACCGGCCAGAAGCTTCCATCACGTGCCATCAGGCCAGGTGCAGCTCGAGGCAGCTGCCTTCTCTGGTTTTCGAACTCCAGATTGGCCTCACGTCTGAGATGGAAAGCAAGAGAGGAAGGCAGTGTCGAACCTGTGAGGCTCTACCCAGTTAGGTACTTTGACCTTGAGTGGTGACGAGGCGTCATTCCTCAAGGCATCTGTAGATTTATCACCTCTACGGATGGTTGCTCCTGATACAAAGGTGCATTCGTAACATTCGCGCGGTCGGAATCTTGCCATGGAGTAAATAAGAAATGGGGAACAACACAAAAGCATTACAGCCGAAGCCCTCCCAAGTGTGAGCGTCTCTGAAGCACATCCTCCATGGCATATAAAAGATCTGGCAATATCCACGGCAAGATCAAGCTGGGATCCGTCAGCAGACCGACTTTTGAAAATACCATGATCAATCTCCACGGCTTGCATGTCTGCATAGGTAATGCGCAAGCCCGCAGGCATGCTTGCTTTTCTTGATGTTGGTCCAACAGGGACATCGTAGCTCACTTGCACCTTCCGTGGCTCGCCGTGCCGTACGATTTGACTGGCGCGGTGAAGGAATGAGGAAGTACCGGTGACTAAGGCACCATCCGGAAGGACGAGACTTGTTTCTTCCTTTCCGGGCAAGCAGTGCGTTTCGCCGGCTGGAGAAGGAACTGCTTCTGATCGTTCAAGGAGCATCCCATCCATCTACATGACGGAGACGCGGACATTCTCAAAAAACCGCCCCCCATCTTCAATGTCCGAGAATCCCACATGTCCAAGGGCCCGTGAGGTGCATGCCATGCAGGCGTCGTCTAGCAAAGGCTGGGGAAATCTCATTACCGTCCCGGGCATGGTTGATCGAAATGGGCATTTAATAGCTTAGCTAATGATGGAGGTAATCTCGACGGCCAACCTCGGACACTGCAATGGCGCTGGGCGGCTACTGCACGGTGCACCTGCAAGCTTCGTCTAGCAGTTCCGGCAGCGGGGTCGCCAACCAGGATCCCAATTCAAGCAAAATCAAGCTTCCCATTGGCCTGCAACCTAGACGAGGCCTGCAGATGCGGGCCCTTGCACCGAGGAACCTCCCGAGGTTGGCTTGAGTAGGTACTTCACATCTTGCGGACAGCGGCACCAACAGGCCAAGTACCTCAATTTCAACTTTGTTCGTGACCCTTGACTACCGGCAGAAAGGGGCAAACACAAATGTCAACAAAATTTTGAGAGAGCACCAACCGGCGCCCAATCGAGTGCGAGGACACGCTTGCGATTTTACCTGTCACTTGCGCCGTCCCGTCTCCAGCTTGACGTCCCGTCTTGTACGCCACGCCACGTTGACACTTTTCGTGCGCTCATCCTCGCCCGGTCGTACTCGGATTCCCATCCTGACCGCCTCCACCAGACGCTTCCCTCCCTTCCTTCCAATGCCTCGGACGACTTGTCGATAACACACCAATTTGATCCCCGAACCCTGGCTGCCCACGCTTCAAGATCCTCGACCGTCACACGGACTGGTACTACACAAAAGGTGCATAACCCCACGTCCAGCTTTCCCGCACAGATATAAGAAAGCTTTCAACATGTCGGGCCGCTACTCCCTGCGCCAGACTCCCAGGTTAGTCTATTTACTTTCCATCTCGTCTCTGCATTTGAAGTTGTCGGCCGAAGCAATTGGGCCCATCGCAACTGTACCACACGACCCGAAGTAGCAGTTGCGTACCGCCTTCCACTCGAAGTCAATACTCTGCACACTGAACCCGTCAAGCTCCAGTTCACTAACTGGTTATTCAGGAAGAAGGAGCTCTTTGAGGGTATGGTTGAGACCCCTCGACGTGTCTCCTCCCGCCGCAAGTCACCCGAGAACGAACCCACGGCAGACACCACCGAATCCAAGATGCCCGCTCGTACTCCCCGCCGACGCGCTACCGGCAAGTTTCGCGAGGAGCTTGATGACGAGATGGTCACCGACAAGTCCGTCTTGAACGGCAAGGCTGAGGTAGAGGAGCCTTTGGCCAACGGTTATTCCAACGGACACGCGAACGGGCACACCAATGGACACGTGAAGGAGGAGTCCGTCAACGGTCACGCTACCAATGGGCACGTCGAGGAGAAGAAGCTCGAGCTTTTCACGAACGGCGACGCCGCTCCTCCCACGAAGGAGAACGCTCAGCGTGTCTATCAGGAGGGGGAGATCATTGACGGCTGGAAGGTTGGCACCGACCCCAAGATTGACACTTCGGGCGAGTTCGAGTTTGGTGGCAGCCTCGGCACCTTGTCCCTGATGATTGGTTTCCCTCTTCTGATGTGGTACATGTGGATCGGAGCCACCTACTATGACGGCGGTGTGCCGCGCCCTCGGGATGGAGAGTCACTAGGAGAGTTCTTCCGCCATCTTGCTAACCTCGTCTACACTGGAGCATTCCCTTCTCTCCGTGCCTGGCGCATCTACTGGACCTTCTTCATCTTCGAGGGCGCATGCTACTGCCTCCTGCCCGGCGTCTGGGCTTGGGGCAAGCCTCTTGCTCACGAGGGTGGCAAGCAGCTGAAGTACTTCTGCAACGCCTACGTCAGTTGGTACTTCACTATCGCTGTCATGGCAGTGCTGCACTTTAGTGGTCTCTTTCCCATCTACACCTTCATCGATGAGTTTGGACCTCTCATGACGGTTGCTATTCTGAGCGGATACCTTGTGTCTTTCGTCGCCTACTTCTCTGCTCTATGGAGGGGGGCTCAGCACCGCATGACCGGCTACCCCATCTACGACTTTTTCCTTGGTGCCGAGCTGAACCCCCGCATGTTTGGCATCCTCGACTTCAAGATGTTCTTCGAGGTCCGCATCCCTTGGTTCATCCTCTTCGGCCTCAGCTGCGGTGCTGCTGCCCGACAGTACGAGAGATACGGATACATTTCTGGCGAGGTTCTTTTCCTCGTCCTGGCCCACTACCTCTACGCCAACGCTTGCGCCAAGGGTGAGCAGTTGATCGTGCCCACCTGGTAAGTTTTCTGATACATCTAACGCGACGATGTCTAACAATATCCAAGGGACATGTACTACGAGAAGTGGGGCTTCATGCTCATCTTCTGGAACCTTGCCGGTGTCCCTCTCTCCTACTGCCACTGCACCATCTTCCTCGCCAACCACCACCCCGACGAGTACAAGTGGAACCCCATTGCGCTTACCGTCCTGTTCATCGCGTACCTGTTCGTCTACTGGGTCTGGGACACGACCAACAGCCAGAAGAACAGCTTCCGTGCGCAGGAGCGTGGACAGCTCATCAACCGCAGGACTTTCCCCCAGCTTCCCTGGAGGGTCGTCAAGAACCCCAAGACCATTACCTCGGCCAAGGGCGATGTCATTCTCGCTGATGGCATGTACGGATACGCTCGCAAGATCCATTACACTTGTGATGCTTTCTTTGCCATCTGCTGGGGCTTGATCACAGGTTTCAAGTAAGTGGAAGCGTTTGCAAGAAGGCCTTCATAGTGCTGACAATATTCTAGGAGCCCCTTCCCCTGGTTCTACCCCGTCTTCTTTTGCGGCATGATTGCCCACCGCGCCGCCCGTGACATCCATCGCTGCCGCCAAAAGTACGGCGACGCCTGGACCGAGTACGAGCGCCAGGTGCCTTACCTGTTCATCCCCGTAAGTAATTACACCCTGCTCTCAGATGCAGATAACTAACTCTCCGCAGTGGGTTATCTAAGCTACCAGATTTCCATCCATCCTCACAGGATGGTAAATTGAGACTTCGGCCGCATGGCCATTTCTGTACATATATGCTTCATCACCTACTGGTGCATCTACCTTTGTTAATAATGGGGTAATCGGAGCAGGTCGGTCAGGACAGGAAAACTGCCGGCGAAAAACCTTGCCATTTCGGCATAAAAGCGTTTTAATCACGGTGACGGCCATGTTTCTTCGAAGACGATGCTGTTGCTGCTTCTCATGTATATACGGATCACGATAATTGCTCACTGTGTCAATGAAACTAATAGTTCTAGAGCTCGAGGTTGCCTGATTAGATTTGTGAACTTATCAAATGTAATTCATCTTAGGCCTGCACTCGCTGTCTTTTCTTCCTCTTTCTGAGATGAACCACGAAACACATTATGACATATGCTATGTACAGGACAGCCGTGACAGAGAAAATGACACCAGCTCTGAACGGGATCGTCCACTCGAATTCGAAGCGCTCGGTCGTGAAGCGTTGGATGTAGATTGGCCAAGCGTAGAATGCATGGACACATGCCGAGAATGCCCAGAAGAGACCTTGACGTACGTATCCATGCGAGTCTTTAGACTCTTCCCGCCATTCGTCTAAAGCAAGCCCAAAGACGATAATAGCGAGACCTGCGAAAGGATAACCTATCAACAAGAGGTAGAAAACGCCTTTGACTTTGAACAGGTAATCGACAGGCGTCCAAAAGCCCAACGTGGATGACATAGTATCCGTCGTATTCTCCTCCCAGGGGAAGAATATGCTTGTCGTGAACCAAAAAAAGCCGAACCCACGCCCACATACAACAAGAAAGGCAGTGGCTAAGTATGGCAACATCCATTGCGTCTCGTTGTTCAGGTGTCCGAATATTAAGGTAGGCGGTACCAATGAAGACCTGTTCATAGTCGAAGTCGAGTTGACAACGTTTGCGGCCGGTAAATCAGAGTTCTGTTGCGAAGCAATGGGTGTCATTTCCATCAATCCAGTAGCGGAATCAGGTCCAGTTCCAAGATTGACATGATGCCCAGAGTCTTCTGCGCTGGATCTATCTGATGTCGGCGGATTTGTTACTCTTGATTGGCTCGTATTTGGGTGCGTGCTTGAAGCAAAAATGCCGAACATTGTGGTCAAAGGCGCAGCAAGGAGTAGAACAGGAAGCACTTGGCCGAATTGCCATCTTGTATCTTCTGGGTGCGAATCCCCAGCCGAAGAATTTTGTCTGTGCCATCTTACAAACAGATATTCGTCGATGACGGCGTCTTTGAGCTTTGAAGTTCCCCAGAGCATGATGAGAAGCAGCCAGAAAAGCTAAAACAAAACCATAACTCAGCAAATTGCATGCACGGCAATAGAGCGAAATTTGTACCTCTCCAAGCATAGAATTAAAAAGCGTGATTTGCGTGCGGACCAGGATGATGGATCCCAAAAGAGGTCTCTTGACCAGTTCAGACCATAAAAGATGTCTCAAACTGGTCTTATAACCATCTTCGACGGAAGAGGAGGTTCGGGTAAGTTTCCGGGTTAACAGGTCCATATATTGGCTCATAGGTAGCCTAATTCGCCTGGACAGCGTGTTTGACACACGAACCGATAGTTTGATCGACCTTGTAGAGAAGCCCGCGAAAAGAAGAACCACGGAGATCAGCATCTCTATCAAAGTGGTAGACTGCGCAAACGGAACTCTGTTGTCGAAACCTTCGTATAGTGAAGTCCCGCAGGCAATAGAAAAGAAGCATAACGCCGGCATACCTGGCCAGGCCCCCGTACCGTCTTCTGTTCCATTAGGAGCTAGTTTGGGGTGCCAGTTGAAGAAGGCAGTCGGTATCATAGCAACTAAGATCATGATAACCAGCACAAGCATCAAAGAAAGGCGTACGTACTTCTCGCGTGGATGAGCTTGAAGATATCTTCGAAGAATAGTTAAGCCAGAGAGATGAGTAACACTGGAAAACCACGCGAGATATACGATGAATTGCCAATGATGAGCCGTGAGTCGTTTATCCAGGCAAATGAAACCGCCGATCATGATACTGGCCCCAGTGATCATTTGAACATCGCACATACTAGCGATGGACTAATCCTGCATGTAAGTCTTCTTCTCTTAGGCAACTAGCTCAGGCCAGATGTTACTCACCAGATGAAAACAATTCTGTATTCGGTCGGAACGAGCAGCACTCATAGTAACAGGCGGGATACGGCAGTATTTCATTACTGCCTTTGTGGCGTTCCTGATCCAATGCAATAGGTAAACGTCAACCGGATTAGGGGTCCAGTAGTTCGGGTCAGACACCACACAAGGTGGTCCCGAATCCGGGATTGGAGGAGGCGCCATAGGATCATATGCCACGGTGTAATAGATTAAAAGAAGGAAGAATGCAAGGTAGGCCGTGCCTGCAAAGCCGATCACTACCTGTGGAATCGGCGCTGCCCACAGTCTGAGGCAGCAAATCAACCTTCAAATCGACTTGATTGGCGACCTCACTTTGCAGGTCGCATTGATATCAGGCTGAATTATGCAGACCCTGCTGCATAAAATTCAGCCAACAAAGTGGCCGAACTCGATCCCAGCTTTCCAACTGCAGCTTACATGCAGCTGGGAGGCAGGTCATCAGGCGTCTGATTAGCCCTGTCGATTGGTCCGAGTGCAACCATACATGGCGAACAGAAAGCTGTGTTATTTCCAGGACTTATTGACATGGTTTGTACTAATGAAACCAATCAAGACTGTCGATGACATCGATGGTCTTAAGCCATCCAATCGCAGCCTATTCGTATTTTCAGTCACAGCCAAGTAAAAGTACCAGCGTTTTGTCGTTCACCGCATTGCTGTCTCGATTCTTTCGAAAATAGAGGACTTGGTATTGTCCTTATATTCCGTCCAAGCTTGCGTTGAGGTTCAACCGGCGGTTTCTGCAACAAAATGAACGGAGATGAACTCAGAATATGGGCTGCTCGTTGTATTTGCATATTAGCAATACTCTCTGACCAAAGAAGAATAATGAAGGCCTGAAGACTGTTGGCGAGAACTGAAGCGCCCGAGCTGCTCGCGGCTCCTGCTAATATTAAGCTTTTGACTGTCTGAAGGCTTTAATTCAGAGTTGGGAGTACAGCATGGAAGCGATTTTCTCATCTTGATGAGAGAACGGCTAAGGAATACGACTGATGTCAATATATACCAATGTCTTTCCTTCTGTGATCCTCCGTAACTTACCTTACCTGGCTGAAAGATTCTCTGATGTCTTCTACCTGCTCTGATTTCATTATAAAGAGCACAGCTTTGCGAAGTAAGTTGCAGGACGATAATCATGGTCTCCTCAAGGAAACGCCTTGAGGTAGAGGAGCATTTATATGACGCAACGATTCCAAGTGTTGGGTGTCCATCCCTAAATGAGAGCTATGTCCATAACCGATATATAATGCTTCAGTGGCTCATCAAACATAATACCATAGGGACCGGATTGACTGTAGACGATGAGTCCTTGTGAGGTTCAAAGCCATTCGTGTGTTAGAGTTGCGTTTGCGTGCTCGAGTATTCCTGGCTGAGCCAGCATCCACACCGCTTTCAGACCTCGATTTCTACAAACGGCACATGACTGCAAGAACATTTCTGGAGGGTTATTTTCGCATTGGATGTGGGTTTGACCATGGCTGTGCCATCAAATTGCTCAGATCCGGTTAGGCCAACGACAGCCTTCAGCTCACGATACAGGAGAACGAGGACCAGAGAAGACACCTCTGCACACAGTGGATACGAGCACCAGAATTGTGTTTCGTTCATTCCGTAATTATCAAGAAGAGACAGTATTAGGTTGTATTATTCATGCACTCCTGGATGACCAAAGGATTCAGGAATTAATGGCCCACGAAAACCGTGCTCCAATCAACAGACGCTACTCCCCTTCTTTTTCCAAGACTCAGTCTCACCCCGAGCAACCGACCTGCGGCCGTACCTTAATCCCTGTATCTACTGACCAACGAGGAGCCTACTTAACTGCAGGCAGCACAATAAGATCCCTAGCCCACACGCTTAGCTCCAAAGCTGACCTCGGGCTGCATCCGCCAAGCGCGTTCTAATTTTACTAGGGTTCTGCGTGAAGTAATATGTAAACCAAGCAGACTCACCTTTCCGCCTTACCGCACACTTATGCTTGTGGATTACTGCAGTCGCAACGGTGGTCACACAGAAGATGGCAACACATTCGGGTCATTTATCTGCTGACGACGACAGACGACCGGCTGCAACCTCCAGAAGTTCTGTTCACTCTGAAACGTCTGGGATCACCCTCAACGATGCCAATTCTGGTCACGATGTTCCGCCCACGGACGACATTGGCCTTCGGCAGCCGAAACCCTTCCCGTCAGCAAGAACTTACATGAGCGTTCCAACCGAGGAACCACAAAGATGTTCCTCAAACCCTCATGAGGACACAGTGGAAGAATATAACAATGGGCCAGAGAAGATTGGCATGCCAAATCGGTCGTTGGGCAATCTTGACGTCCTCCGGCTGTGGAAGTACGAGTTCCTGGCGATAATTGTTTCGGTTCTGGCCTTCATAGCCATGACGATCCTCTTGAAGGTGTCCGACGGAAAGCCGCAGCCGAAATTTGCGTATTCTATCAACCTCACCACGACTGTCGCTATTTCTACTACTCTCTTGAGAGCTGCGATGGTCTTCGTTGTAGCTGAAGGTGAAACCAAGTGTTCGAACCTCCGGTAACGTTTACTAATGTACAGTAGTCATCGGTCAATGCAAGTGGCTTTGGATGGATCAACCACGCCCTCTGCGACACATCGAGCATTTTGACAATGCCGGAAAAGGCATCTGGGGATCATTGAGGCTTCTGTTTTTGACACTCAAGCCGTAAGTTATAACACCCCCGATTAAATACAAGGTTTAATGACTGAAACTTGAGGGATATAGGAAGCTCACTGTCCTTGCCTCGCTCATTGTGATCACTTCATATGCTGTCGGCCCGTTCGTTCAGCAAGCAGTCAAAACGTATCCTTGTGCTATAGATGGGAAGGGGATCGCGAGGATATCAATTGCGGAACGCGTCATACGATCAGACGCCTATGTCGGGGCCCAAGTCGTCGGGGCCCAAGTCGGCGGCGCTGGAGATCGTGCCGTCATCAAAAACCTAAGGGTCGCTCCGGAACTGCAGATGACTGCCTTGAACGGCCTGCTGGCCGACACTCCGACTGGCTCCGTCAACCTTTTTCAATGCGACTCTGGGAACTGTACGTTTCCTCTCAGAGGACCAGGAGTCACGCATACCTCACTCGGCCTTTGCAGCACTTGTACCGATGTGAGATCCAAATTGCTGGAATCCCAACACAGATCGAACTTCTCCCACGTATTTGAGACAGACCGCGATTACCGATTCGACAACCGCTCCGACTTTGGGATCAGTACCTTTTTCAAGTCTGGTATCTTCAATATGACGACGGAACGGACGAGCCCTTACAGCACCACGGACGACTACGAAAATACCGAGACGTCCATCCTGTCGTTTACAGCAAAAGGCTGTGCCCGTACAAAGGATCCAGAGGACGGTTTCCTGACGAGGGAATGCAAGCACAGCTACGACAACATGCCGGGTCTTTTTCCAGAGTTCGACATCGTAGCAGCGAACTGCAGCTTACACCCCTGCCTTCGCCGCTACAACGCCAACGTGGTGAATGGTGTCCTGGACGAGAAGCTTGTCTCCATAGCTCCGGTCGGTGCAGCCAATATCTCATACGTCCAAGCAAACATAGCGGACGATGTCAGAAATACATATGTGTTTCGGAACTTCTCCTACGTCGCCATGAGCGAGCCTTGCATTATCAAAGACATATGGTACGACTCGTCCAACATCAGCCAGGCACCGCGCGACGGCGTGAAATGGACGTCATGGGGCACAGGAGATACTCTCCATGAAGCACCATCTGCGTGTTTGGTACTCATGGATCCCACAGAGTTCCTTGGTATTAGGCAGTTCTTTCTGCAGACGCTCAAAGGATCATGCGCCAAGACAACTTCGGGTTCCAACAGACCGACTTCGAGCCTTGAAGACGGCAGGATAAACTGTGAAGGGGGCTTCTGGGTCGATGCATTCTTCAACAACGGAAACGCCACATTCGACGACATCTCCACCGCCTTTGACAACATGGCGACGGCTCTGACGAACCGCATGCGCGCGAAAGGACGTGAGTTCCTCACAGAAGCGCGGAGCTTCACGAATGGGACTGCTGTCGAAATGTCCATCTGCATGCGCGTTGACTGGCCATGGCTGGTGTATCCGGGTGTCCTCCTAGTTCTGACATCGTTTCTGCTTGCAACGACATACGCACAGAGCTGTCAGGATAGAGGTCGGCGTCCGATTTGGAAATCATCGATCCTGCCTCTGTTGTTCTATGGGGCAGAGACGCAGCACACTTATATGGATAAGCAGCGGAATACCTTGGATGCGACACAGGCTTTGCCTCTGATGCAACTGGCTGAGCTCGAGGCAATAGCTGATGCAACGAAGGCGAGGTTCTGCAACGGCCGGGATATAGCTGGCTTCATTGTCGACAAAACGTCTCCTGAGGCCGCCTAAGCTGCAAGGGACCTTTATTTGATGGAGGTCAAATTAGAGATGGATCATAGCGAGGAAAGCTTGCCGCTGAAATCATAGTTGCAAGTTGTGCCTAAACTACATGGTTTTGACAACAATTGGGATGATTGCTCTCGTATGATATGTGCGTTTTATCATGGTCACGGCTTTGCGCCGAGAGTATCCACTCGAACGCCAAATTTGTTAGGTTTCATCCTGTTCTGAACTGCTTCTCTCCAGAAGTCCTTGTCCTCGTCAGTATTGACCCGTAACGAGCCTGGATAGAAGATGTCCAGCAGAACCAACCCCATGGAGGGATAGTCTTTCTCGACCTTTTTGATGACAGGGTGTACCCTCCTGTCACGAATCGTCTCCTTGTGCGTGATATGTATGCCATGAGCGCTCGGCGATCTGGAGACACCAGCAGCGTACAGGTTCTGAACACTCCCGACGAGACCGATGGCGAGCAAGTCTAGGATAGCATCAGTTTCCAAGGGGCATGACCGAACAAGGAGCGATCAACGTACACCAAGTGTGCTCTTCCATGCCTGAAACAGTTATGAGCAGCATGACCCAAAGAAGAGTCAAGACCACAGTTATGGTTCTTGTCTCAAGCGTTGGCTTGAACACGCGCGTAGCGCGAGCCAGGATTTCGAGATCGAGCCCAACTTTCGACTGGCGATTGTTCTCGATGAGAACTACGTGACGACTGCCGTTGCCTTGGGTAATGGCAACTGTTCCACCCCCATCACTGGGACAGGCCCATTTCTCCTGCCGCCACTGGGGCAGCGAACTTCCTACGACGGCCAAAAGAGTGCCGGCGGCCGTAACGAGGAAGATCGACCAATCCCTGTAGACGATCCACGGGACTAAGGAGACGGCGAGTTGGATAAGAATGACCACACAGCCGGAGTACCAGACGAAGTCAAGACACGGAACGCCATGTGCGGCCTTTGGTTCAGAGTCAACCGTGTAGACTGAAACTCTCAAGGCTTCCCAGGCAGGCCCTCCTTTCATTTGCGGCGATTTCTCGTTGCTAGCTTCTGGGTTTGCAACATGCTGCTGTTCATGATGCATCTCTTCGTCCACTTTGTAGGTCAAGTCTCGAAGCAAACGACCCAGGACCCAGCTTGACGAATTCCGGAGGTGGGTGCTGTCGGCGCCAACAACCATGACACCGTCCACGTCCGGCGCTGGCATGAGCGTCCCACCTAAAACATCCTGTTAGCTTGATTTGTCAATGACATTCACCCAGGCGATTGAAACTCCCGTCCATGTGCATCTCGAGACTCACCGCCAAGGGCATCCAGCAGGGCGCTTGCTCCATACGCCACCCAACCGAAGGAAAACGCGACGGGAGTGATCCGGCGACCGGTCTGAGCGGCTACCGCCTTCTTTACGATTTCGGGGCCGAGGAGGAGGAGCACGGAAAGGATGTCGGCTGGGTTCCTCCACTGGAAACGCAAAGCCCGGGCCGCAGCATCCTTGAGCACCTCGCGCTTGACGGGGATGGAACTCGCTAGCGAGTAGAACCATATGGGCGCCATTTGAACCATGATGAGAGGTAGGAAGAAATGAAGAAAGTGGGAATCAATTGAGCTTTCGTAATGTTGCTAACTTCCAGGTGGATACTTGATGCAGCTGCAGTCAGAACCCCTCCTTATTCCCCCCATCTTCGGGGAATGGAGGACAATATAGATGGAAATGGGGCAGGAGGCCTTACTACAACAAAGATTGAATACAAACTCATATCACTGCAAACATCAACTATGGGCGGGTAAGCATGGTCTGACATGTGTTAGCCTAACTTGTGCTACACGTTGCCGGGCCACACTTCAGGGAACCTTCGCGCGAAGTCATAGGCTTTCTCCTCGCAAGTCAGACAGACGAAAAGCCAGACGCTGTGAAATATAATTGGAAGAACTCCGCGCCCGCATGCACTGTCATCCAATGACGGGAATCCGTGTGGACATGCATGGTGGTAAGGGTGGCGGACCAACGGGAGGAGCCCAATGGCGATACGCCCCGTTGATACAAGTCAAACAACAAATGGCCTTTATTCTGGCCGGATCCTTAGTCAAGACCAATCGGATTCGACCGAGACTTTCATGCATAGCCAGCCACAACACAGCCATTCTTGTTGAACTCAGCAAAGTACTTTCTCATCACGCACGCGATGTTCAATTCCAGATTTGTGAAGGGGGATTCTGACATCTGCCTGGGATTCTGGTTCAACATGATCATTTGTTTCCAATGAATAAGGCGGCATTTTATGATACGTGAATATAGAAACGAGAAGATCAGAGATGAATTCTATTGGTTCAGATGATTCTATGAAAATGCCCACCGAAAAGATTTCCGGTGAAAGCGTTCACTCTGGGTCACCACTTCTCGTTTCCATCAATCGTCGTTCTCTAAAAGCCGCTTATGAGCAAGGGCAATACTGCACAATCTCATTCCTCGCCCGGAGTCATTCTCTTCCTCTTCCTCTGAGAAGTCTGGAAGCATTTCCATCATGTCGGCTGCAGCGCGCTCGAGATGCTCTTTTGCATCTTCTGAGAGGCGTACCTGCTCAGAATCGCTCGCCGAAAGAGACCTGATACGTAGGGTTACACCAAGGCAAAGTGCAGTGACGCAGCAAAGTAAGTGCTTCTTCCGGAATAGCACATCGAACTTTTTGAGGGCGCTTCTGAGAGTCTTCTCGATGTCAACAGCTTCCTGTTCACCCGGGCTAGGTGAGTCATCTTCAGGCATCCCCAGGCTGTAGTCGATGATTGCCTTCGCGACGTTCCCTTTGAGTCTATCCCTTTCTGCAAAGCGGAGAGATCTCATGAAATATTCCCTTGGCTCGTCGAGTGACTCGTCATCGCCGCTCTCCTGGTCGATGGACAACAAGATGAGAGCGCCAAGGGCACTGCGTTTGACGAAATAATCACCGTCCCTGTCCTCAGGCCTGTCACCGCGGGCTTGCTGCTTGTTCTTGACCACCTCTTTTTTAACGCTCCCTTGGGATCTCGTTCCGTTTTGATTCAAAGGCTTCTGGCTTCTCGTCCTCCCATTCATCATCTCCAAAGTCCTCGTAAAGAATGACCCGGCGTCAGAGGAGTTCTCGGATAACATCGATACCAGGCCGCGTTGATAGGTCAGCATCGCCCCGGTATAACTAGGAATCAAACGAGCCTGGGAAGACACATCGTCCTCGGTAAGACTCTCAAACAAACCAAGAGCGCTGTTGTATGCTTCCTCGGCCTTGTTCCATTCTCGCTCTCGCAGATAGTGATCGCCAAGGGACCAAAGACCGTTGATGATAGCGTGTAACTTGACTTCGTCTTCGCCTTCGTCCACCTTCAGTCGCAGTTGATCGGCCAGGTCCGGGTCGAGATCATCCTTGGATAGTTCGAGCAGATATTGAGCTGCCTTCTGGTTTGCTTTCGCGATTGAGTCGATTAGCTGTTCCTGGAGCGACCTTTCGTCAACAGAACTTGACTGTAGGACCCTCAAGAAACTTTCATCACCCCCTAGCCATTCGTCGTAGTCATGTGTACTTTCGGAACTAAGCCAGGCCGCAGGATCAGGCTTTTGTTGGGGCTCACAGTCTTCGACATCAACAACGACTTTCTCGTCGAAAATGGAATCCTTGGGATACTCGGAAGACACATCGTCAAAGTCTTCCAATTCCGTCGACTCATCAGATTCCAACTTGCTTCCCATGATGATCTGCGAATAACGCCAGTCAGACTCCTCGAGGGCTTGAGTTTCCCAGACAGTGCCGACATAGTCGCACAGCAAGGTCTGCTCTTCATTGTGGTCCGGTCTCTGCCCGAGCCTCTTCACAAGCAGAGCTGGCTCTCCTTGTTGTAACGAAGCCATGGGACGCAAAAGCAAGCAGCGCTGTATTTGAGATTTCTGGAGCGCGAGACGGACTTTGACACGCGACGAAGGATCTCTGCCAAACAGGTGGACTGCCTTGTCGTCATCCTTCTTCAGCTCCCGACAACGCCACTGACCGGATATCGCGCCATCTTCTGTGACATCCAGTAGTGAGAGGAAATCAGACATAGTGCGGCTCTCAACGTCGATGGGTGTTGCTGCTGGCATGTTGAAAATGGTTGATGGGCACCACGACCATGGGCCACTGTTTTTCATGGTGGCTTCGCCATGGAACAAGCAGAGCGAAGGAACCTTCCCAAGATATTTCAGGATGTCCCGTGTGATTTCGCCCTCCTGCCCTGAAAAGTTGCAGTGTGGAACATCAGCCAGAAGTGCAGCAATTTTCGTCTTGTCGCGCGGACGGGAAGTAGATCGTGAGTTGAGCGTGTGAATGATGTCGCCAATATCGTTGACAGGCTCTCGCAAGCGCTTGATCCAGCTCGTAGCCAGCCAATGGGCGGGGCTTGTCGTGGACGGGGAGAACTCCAAGATATCCTTGTCAAGATCATACGGGACGATCTCGCCATCCTTTCTGAACAGCACCTTGACCTGCTTGGACATCTGCAGCTCCAACGCAGTCCAACCGCGGGAGAACCAGTTCGACAATACCAGCGCAACGCACGGGCTACCGTCGTTCTTGAACTCGGTACGAGTGAGCTCCTTGTCGTGTACGATAGTGCATTTCGCATTGGCGTAGTTCTTGTGTAGGGATTCGAGAGCCTTGGCATACTGCTTCTCACCTTCCGGCACAGATACAGCGTCCCACCAGATGGCTTTCCGGTCCTCGCCTTCCCAGACTTTGTTGACCTTGTCTTCCCAGAATTCCCAGAGACAGGAGTTGACCATGCGAGCGCTTGAGTCTGAGTCCTCCTCCTTCTTTGACGAGACACCCACGCCTGTCCCGTCCGACCAAACGTGGGAGATCGCGACGTAGTCATCGTCCGGATGAGCAAGCTGAACTTTGCTGCCAGATATGTTTTCCTCGCCGCAAAGCCAAGCCGTGGAATGACCTTCGTCGATGGCCTTGTCGATTTCGTCCATGTCGAACTCCAATTTGGAGCAATCATGATGTCCCACGGGCGCATGCATTTGCTCTTTCTTCGTACTGTCGATGATCGCCTGCTGGCAGAACTTTGGCGTGCAGTTCTTGTGGGCTTCCTCTTCTTGATCATCAACAAGACTCTCCATCGCCCCCAAGAAATTCATAATGGTCGGCAGATCCGCATCCTTTCGGTCGCAGGCTTCGAGGAAGTTCCACACTCGGAACTTGCAGAATCTGGTGTTGTCCAGCTGGTCGAATGCTTTCTTAGGCCTCTCGAGTCCGTCGCCAGCGCTGTTGGACATCGAATCCGATACCCAACGACCGAACTTGTCTGGTCCAACTGAGAAGTTGTACTGGACCGACACCATCCAATAGAGCAAGTCCCAAACCTGATCCAGAAGTTTAACTTGCTCATCCGCGTCCTCCTCGTCCTCCCCATCCTCGGCATTATCAAGGCGGTTTTGAAAATGAGTCTTCCTGTAGCATGGGCGTGAGCACTCTGCCAGAGCCATTGCAAGTGCCGCAACAGCACTGGCAATATGTGTATGCCCAATAGCAGACTTCTCACTCCAGTCTTTGCGATGATTCTCCTGACAGGACATAGCAGTGATCGCCCATTCCCTTAGAGATGGCCACCCTGTTACCCCAGGGGCACGGCTATCCATCCTCTCACGCAGCCTTGTGCACCTTGCGTTCGTGCAAGGACGTACGGCGGCGTACATGCACACATGAGCGACCTGAGACAAGAAGCCCATTCCATCGGCAGCAAGTGCTCGGTAGAAGTTGGGTTCCTTGGCCCACAGGGAAACATCGTTCGGGCGAAGATTCGCGCACTCATTGTTGACATCGTTTGCGTCGTCTGCGTCACCACGTAGGAGTGAATCTTCGAGACCGACTCGAAAATACTCGATCTTCGATACCTCGTTCAACCGGCTGGTGCATCCGCGGCAAAGCTCCGAATCTTCCTCAGCGCCAGTGCAACTAGGGCCATCGTCGTAGTCGTCAGACGAATCCCGCAGAAATCTGAGATAGGATCGGGCTCCCGGATAGTTCTTCAGACGCAGGCGTTTAGCATCTTCGGACTCCGAGTGGCCTCCGTAGTCCCTCGAGAGAGCGTCGAGGTTGTCAATGGACCAGTACTCTAAGAGCTTGAAGAAGTGGTCCTGTGAGCTGGCCATCTTTTCAAAGACTTTTTTGTGAAGGATCAGAACGACGAGTCCAATAACTGATAGCAGAGATGATGATAGTTCGTTGTCTGGTGGGATGGGTGACAATCCCGAGGGCTCTGGAACCTCGAGTGGTTAAATGCCTCGCCAGAGCCAACATGTGAGCGATATTCTTCAAATTTCAAAGACCCCATGAATATTTTCCGTCGCATCCATCCACAACATGGTTTGAGCATTTTCTTCTTTGGCCGACATCGCCGACAAGGCTCTGGGTTTGGACCTTGGCAGTGGGCCCTCGTGAGGCTTTACTAGACATGGAACAAGACATGCTCCCAGTGAACGCTTCTTGGAGCCTGTAATCCAATTGAATGCTGACAGTGGGTAGTAAGACACCCATAGTTTCTATTGGGTGCCTGATTGATTTCTGTAGATAAGCTGCAGACTGATCGAACCACTGGGCTGTGGCTGTGTAGGAGTTGTTGTTGGAGGCCTGCTCCAACATGCAGAAGCACTCCACACAAGAACCACTCCCCCGGGCATCGTTGCCTGGAGGCTGCAAGGGTCGAGCGGAAGAGTTGCCTAATCTGTGAAAATAAGCACGGAGAACGCAATTCGTGTTCTTCAGCAAGTTGTAATGCTTTTGGACATGCTTGCCCACTCTTAATTGACGAAGCATAAGTGTCTTGCGTGGTTGGTGATGAAATTACATGTACATATCTGAGTCGGTTAACATCTCGCAAATGGTTCGATCTCATGAATGATACCAAATGTAGCTTACATATGGACTAGTGAAGGGTTCTATCACCAACTTAATAGCTGAGTATCCCATCCGAACTGATTACAGCAATGTCTATTCATACAATCGGGCCTGATTCTAACACGGATCCTCTGCCATTGCTTGAGAGCAAACCGCAAAAAGAACGAAAAACGATTCTCAAACGACATGTAGAAAGAAAGCTTTCTGTTGCGTTCGACACAAATCAACAAATTGTTGACCTAGATCAGAACCTCTTTTCCCTTCTATTGAAACTTTCCAGTCGACTTCCAACCTAAATTCCACCTGCGGTATCGGCCTACAGACTAACACAAGAATATTTCAAAACCGCACGGTTTCACTTCCCATGGCGGTACCCATCCAGTTCCTCTTTGAAAACGCAGCAACAGGCGCTTCCAAGGCACTTAAACCCGATTCACAAATACCAGACAACCAAGAAGTATGGTGCAAAGATTGCGTTCGTCTTTGATAAGACGTGGGTACAGGTCTGTCGAGGCATACGGGACAAACACATCATCCTGACACCGGATTTGAGACCAAAAAATATTCCTCATCGCACTTAGTGGGTATTCGTGAGATGCTGGTTTACCTATTACATCTGGTTGGAAGCAGGCACCATGTGGATGATGGACGTCGAGCAACAGTATTGTCGTGCCAACACGAAGTGATGAAACATCCTTTTACTCCTGAAAGATTGAATTGTGATGGTTCGTTGAGCTGATGGCATATGTCTTTTTGTCTGGTGATGACGGCGAGATCATCATGTTGCGTTTGACTACGTTAGCTGGGATTAATACCACGCCTAGGATATATGCTTGCGGAACAAGCGAACCATTATGTTACTCCCAAGAACATGTTTCCTCATCCAATGATATATCTATAACAGGCCGGGCAGTCGAAGAAACGTATTGATGCTGTTGAGTTCACAGTCGTAAATTGCGGCCATAGTTGTTGCTACATGTACTCACTACGCATCGTCTCACATAGACACATAGCAGAACGAATAATTGGAGTCTCTCGGCATCACGATAAATATATGAAAACGGCGCATTCGTAATCAGCAATATGCATAGACTCAAATCCAGAGGATGTCGACGCTGTCGGATAGGTACCTTTTGTCTTTTAGGCATTGACGTAATAAAGCAACGGCATGTGTGGCCACCTAAACAAAGTGCTACTAGACAACCAAGTCAGTTTATCATGATACGTATTCTGATTTCCACGGTCGCATCCATTCGTGGCTTGAATGAGACGGAGATGCCCAACATGTGGTATTAGGTCTGATCCACGAAGGTAGATCTGACAGGCGGTCGACCAGGCAGCCACCGCCTGGGCGCAGCAAAAGCTTAGCGCAACCTTTAGCGTCCTCGGAGCCTGGACAGCCTGCCGGAACAGCCCACCCTGAAACTCCCCTCGGCACCGTTTTCACCCGCAACCACCTTCCTCAGGCTGCAATGATTCCTCTTCATCTCATCAAGGTTGTTGAATCTTCCCGTCATTTGACCCGTTGCAAAATCAAAGACTAACCTACAGAAATTGCAAAATGACACTCAAATACAAGACTCAAGAATTTCCATCTAGTTTGGTGCCATTTTCACACAAGGACAGCCTAGCATGCCGTTCAACCCGCTCCGGCTGAGGCCAATCCGACACCGCCACGGCCAGGCTCCCGCTACGCCCAGACACCAACTCCAGGCAGTGAGATTCCTCACCGCGTGTAAATACGCAGCGCCGCAGCGTCCAGAAAGCCGCTTTTTCAACCCAACAACAGTTTCAATACTACCTACATTGACACCTATCTCGTTCCCCAGAAATAACACCATCTCAAAGCAACCCGTGTGCCGTCTGAGCACACAACCCGCCACGATGTCGCTGAGCTCCCTCCTCCCAGGCAGCCGCAAAAAGCGGTCCCCGCCCCCGAAACGCGGCCCCCAGCCCGTCCGGACCTTGTACACCTCCAACCCCGTGCCGGTCCCCGCAGACTTCCTCGCCGCCCCGCCGCCGGGCGCCCCGCCCGTGACGCTCACCCGCATCGACTGGTCCAAGACGCAGCTTCCCGAGAACGAGGGCCGCTACGCCGTCGTGCTCGACAACGTGCTGACGCGCGCCGAGTGCGCGCAGCTGCTTGCGCTCGCCGAGGCCAGCGCCGTCACCGCGGACAAACCGTGGCAGCCCGCGCTGGTCAGCATGGCGCAGGGCTGGGAGATCCTGGAGCCCGAGTACCGCAACAGCGACCGCATCATCTGGGACGAGCAGGAGGTCGTCGACCGGCTGTGGGCGCGGTGCGCGCTGGCGGAGGGGCTAGGGGAGGAGCTGGCGGCGTTTGAGGGGGTTGCGCGGCCGGATAGGGGGTTCGAGACGGATTGGGTGTTTGATCGGTTTAATAAGCGGATGAGGTTTTTGAAGTATGGCAAGGGCCAGTTTTTCAGACGTAAGTTTTATTCCTGCATCTTTCAAGGCGATGAGGTGTCTGATTGTGACTAACACGGAGGCAGCTCACTGCGACGGTCCTTACAGCGAGGAGATGGAAGACGGGACGGTGTATAGGACGCATTACACCGTCCATCTATACCTGAACGACTCTGTTGCCGAGGTGGGAAAGGAGAAGGCGGACCTAGTGGGCGGCGCGACGTCGTTTCTGTCAAATGATGAGAGGAGGAAGGTTGATGTAGACCCCAAGGCCGGGAGGGTTCTTATTTTCCAGCACAACCGGCTGTATCACTCTGGAGACGATGTGATTCAAGGGACGAAGTACACCTTGAGGACTGACATCTTGTATAAGCTCGTGAAGACGGAGACGAAGAGGGAACATGAGGCTGCTTGAGGTGTGGGTGTGGGCACTCAAGACACATAGGCGTTGGGGAAGGAGTTTCATCGGGAGACATATCCACTTTGAGATAGTTTAATACGTGGAAAAGACACCACTCAGTCATGCCGAATTGATGAGACTAGATTTATCGTGGCTAGTCTGCTCTTGCCTCTACCTTTTGACTGCCTGGTGGTCGTCAGCATAGTACCGCAGCACTTATAAGCGCAGAGATGACTTACATGAAATGCAGGAGACCTCACCATGTTAATGCACCAGAACGCAGAAAGTCTCATAGCCAACGATCACTTGAATCAAATTAGCCGTGTCTATTGATGAAGCTAGAGATCTACAACCTCGCCCGCGTTGCCGCGTCCCCCGTAATCTTCTTGACGAACCCGATGACCCGGCTGTAATACTCCGCCGTCGACTGGTGCCCCTCAAACATGTAGAAACAATGCGGCATGCCTTGGTACGTGTGGAGCTCCGTCGACACCCCTTCTTCTTGCAGACGCTCCGCGAAGGCGATGGCCTCGTCGCGCAGCGGATCAGCTCCCGCAACTTGCATCACTGTCGGTGTTACATCAGAGTCAGCTCCCACTTCCAGCGTACGTCAACCTTCACACAAGAAAGGATAGAACTCACAAACAGGAGGAAGCCCCTTCAACCCGCCCTCATCAGCCAGCAACGGCGAGTGCCACGCCCGCGGCTCAACATCCCCCGGCGGGCCGGGCAGGTACGCGTCCCAGAAGAACTCCATCTTGCGCGCGTCGACGATGGCGGCGTCGTGGCACTGCCGGTAGCTCGCGAGCTCGTACTTGTCGCTGGGCATGAGGGCCGGGTGGCAGGTCACGGGGAAGGCGAGGACCTGGCCGAGGAGGCCTGAGACGCCCTCCGCGCGCATGCGCAGGGCCGTGACGATGGCGATGTTGGCGCCGCCGCTGGAGCCGAGGAGAAGGATCTTTTCCGGGTCGATGCCGAGAGTTGAGGCGTTGGATTTGCACTGGGGAGGGTTAGTTTACTGGCTTGGTGAGTGGGATGGCGGACTGGAGGGGGGTTTACCCATTTTGTGGCGTCGAGGCAGTCGTTTAGGGGGACGGGGAATTTGTGCTCGGGAGCTCTGCGAACTTGTTAGTAAGTGTCCGATCCTGACGGTTCGGAGAGGGTTTCAATCAAAAACTCACGTCCGGTAGTCCACGCTCACGACAACGACATTCCCCAACCCCGCCAACATTAGATTCTCAGGCTCCTCCGTCATGTGGCCCCCGACAACCCAACCGCCGCCGTGAAACCTCATCCCAAGCACCGCTTTCCCAACAGCGTTCTTGCTCCTCCAGATCTTGATCTCAATCTCAGCGCCATCGCGTACGGGAATCTTCCGCGTATCCGCCAGCACGTCGACGCCCTCCTGCGGGGTCCCCTTCGGCGCGGGAGGCGGGCTGAGCCAGGCCTGCCGGAACTCGTGGAGCGAGAGCTCGGGCTTCCAAAAGGGCGCCACGGCGGCGTCTGCGGCTTTGAGGACGTGGGCGAACTCGGGCTCGAGGGCGGCGAGGTGGCCGTTCTTTGGGAGGGGGCGGAATGATGGGGTGAGGGGGGTGTAGTCTGGTTTGGATTTGAGATGGACCATTTTGAGAAGATGGGAGATATGATGAGGGGATGAGTGAGTGAGATGTGAGTTTTGGTATGAGTTGGAGGCAATTGAGTGAGCGATCCTAATGGCCGACTGAGAGCAGCTCTCTGAAAGCCACAAATACGCAGGATGCTATGATTCAAGATGCAAGATATGACGGCTTCACACTGCAACAGTCTTGAAGCATTACGGATATAACTACTAAAAGCTCTCCCAGTGCTTGTATTAAGTTCACATGGGCGAGAAAGCTTTATCAATGGGACCGGACATGGCCAACCGGAAAACACTTACCACGATGGCATACCCCTGATCCTTTACGCAGAGACTCGGGATGCATACTGCTGCTGCCAAGCACAGAGCGATAGGGTGTAGCCTATCGGGTGTGTAGGAAAATCGGTTTGCCCTTGTGCTGTGCGACCGGCTGGAAAAACACGGCGTTTCGGTGTAGATGCGTTCGCACCCGGCTATCATTCTCCGGGCCGTACGCTCGGCGTGCGGGGGACGGATGCCGGCGGCCGCCTAAGAAGGACGCGGTGTGCTGCGGATGACACGAGCGTCTGGAGGGCACCAAAAAAGACCTGATAGGTATTAAAGGTATCAAAAGAAAACAGGTGAATCGCGAGAGAAAAAAGTTAAAAAAAATTATCCGCTGAGGGGTTTTAACCCTCCTGAGTTGCCTCATGCCTGAATCGAACAGGCGATCTCCTCATTACTAGTGAGGCGCTATACCACTTAGCCAATGAGGCTATTTGGTTCATTGGATGTTCACAGTGCTCGCTTGGCTACCCAAGTAGCCAAAGTGGAGTGCACAAATTTTCGCTTCGACAGGAGTCAGTCCCGCTAGAGGCGAGAAAACTCCACGGTGCTGTGTCTTGGGTTTTGTTTGCCTCGTTTTCTTTGCTGAGTAGCCACCGTTTTTCGGCAGCTTCCTGGGGTTGTATGCGTACGCTGCCCCGTCCTTTCACTGCGAAATACTTGCGATGAACGTGAACGATAACCAACTGAATGGCCGTTCCGTCCCCGTGCTGAGCTCTTTCAGGGGGTGCTTCTCCGGGTGATTGGGAGGTGGAGATCAGGACCTCGGGGGTCAGTGCAGAGAACCGAGAACCACTCTGCGGAAGCTGGAGGCAGAGGGAGCTGTTATTGCCAAGGGGCACCGTGCTGATCCAGGGCGAATACAAGCATCGAGAGTGCGACAGCGACGACGGGAGCGCACGCATAGCGAACTCTTGGCTGCTTGGCAGTGTGCATTTGACATTGAGATTCGAGAAGAACTTGTCGCCATGTTCAGCCTTACCGGGAGGCCGCGTACGCACAAGTCCCCTTTTGCCAAGATGCAGTGGATGAAGCCCGCAAAACAAACTTAAGGTGTTCCCCCTTTTTTTTTTGTGTATCCGTACCAAGATCAGAACTCGTTGCTTGGTTCAGGAACGAGCCGAAGGAGGACCCCTTTTTTGCTCCTTTGGGCGGCTGGCTGCTTTGGAGGGGGCTTAGACGCGTGGATGCAAATGTTTAAAATTTGAGGAGTGGGAGGCATTCGGACGCTGGGACAAATAACGATATTGAGGTGCCTGGCTGCTGACGGTATTACTCCGTCATCCCGTCTGAGGGCATGCAGACAGAAATGCAATGAAGATTCGCATGCGCGGACGGTTTCTAGAAGGCGGCTGAGGCTGAGGCATGCGAAGTGAGGCGATATGATGGCCCGCTCAGCTGAGGCCGCGCTGGGTGCAGTCAACATCCGAGATGGGGTGGTCTCTTGAGTCCCTAGGTGGACGGTAATGGTCCCGGCGGCTGTGGACAGCGAGAGCGCCAAGGGAATGCCCAGGCGCGTAGATCGCGGGAGGGAAGCACACAAGCAGTGGGCGCGACATGGGCAGCACGAGGGACGGGGCAAGGGAGCTAGCAGAGCCAAGCAAAAACCAAGGACCCAAGGAGGAGCACAGAAAAGCTTGACTGTTTTTTTTCTTCGGGGCTCTTCTGTCTTGTGTTTCGTGCAGAATGGTGTAACCGCCACTGGTTGGATGACGAAGCACGAAGCTTGGGTTTACAGGCTTGGTGAGCGCAAAACTGTCGATCGCCAGGCGCTGAGGAGTTGGACCGTGATGTGACGGCGGTAACACGGCCTGGCTGCGCGACGAATGTGAGCGCATAAACGGAGGGCCAGTCACTTCATTTCCAGCAGACACCACCTGGTCCATATTTAATCAGAAAAGGAGGGGCGACTGGGTGATATCTAGGTAGCTGATTGGTTTGAGGAGCTACACGTGATAAGCCTCGTGACATTCGTCAGGGGTTGTCCTGCCACGGATGGGGGGCCGTTGGTGGCACGCCGTCGCTCCCTCGCCCGGCCATCGGCTTCTCCTTTGCCAGGCGTTCGCTCCGTCTCACGCTCAGGGGGGCACAGCACCTGTGACCTGAGGTATTACGCGCAGTCTTCTCGGCTGGAATACGAGACAGGATGGATTGGGTGCTCGCTCTGGTTCCTCCATTTCTAATTGAGTTTGCGTCCCAGCCTGCAGAAACAATGGGAGACTGGAGGATATTCGCAGAACACTCCCGCAGAAGATCAGCCAAGACAAAATTGCTCGGCATGCACAAGCCGTGCACCGCCCATCTCCTCAGCACCACCCACCCACGACCCCTTGTTGCTGACCCTGTCCTTGGATCGCCAAGACCGCGGGACAAGAACGCTGGAAAACTTGGAATTTGCTTGTTTTCCTCGCTGGCGACTTGGCGCGTCTGGGCACTGCGTGGCATGTACAGTAGTGTGGAAAGATGGCTGGGCTGTTGGCTGCGCGAGGTGAGCACAGGCACTTCAAGCACAGGGAGACGTTGATCTGACTGGAGAGCTTGAGGTTTTTGCATAAGGTACTCAAATACATACTGCGGACAGAGAAATTAGCAGGCAAAAGTCTCGGGTTAGGTATTGCTTTGCGCCCACTTGAGTCCGTTGACCCGTCGGCAGAGGACGCTATCGAGGACACCGTCGCAAGCCACTGCGCCCATTGTTCATCGCTGAGACGGACCACACGCATTCCTGCTGCCGTGCCTGCTCTCTGCTCTCTGCTGCTGCTGCTGGCCTGACATTTCGTGTATGTTGGGTACGAACAGAAAAGTCTCCCTCTGCTGTGCCCCCTCCCCTCTGCCCCCGTGGTGTGGTAATTGAAGTAAGTGCCCCGGTGGTGACATGACAGGACCACCTTGCTCATAATCCATTCGTAAAAGAGACTTCCAGACCCCGGCCTTACCACCCGTCTGCCAGTCATTGCCCCCGTACCGGTACCTTCCCTGCAGCTTGCACTTGCCCGATCTCCAAGTCCCGTCTCTACCTTTGCCTTTACACTAAGGTGCCTTGCACTAGCACCACCCCTTCGCTGTCACTCTGCCATTCATTCATTCTCTTTCCCTTCCAACCTGCTGTTCCCGACCCTCTCTTCGCCTTCCTTTCCCTTCAACTTCCCGGTTCATCTCCTGCTTTTCCCCAACCTGACCCTCGTTTTGCGTCTTCTCAACTCCACCGCCACATTCGCCGTCCATACTCGACGTCGAAACGAACGCTTTCTCAAACCCGCCCTCGACCGAATCGTTCCATTTCTTCGCATGATACGAATCTAGTACCGACCGCGCCGAACTCCTAGGGAAACCGAACCTCCCAACCCGGCATTTTTCCTTTCCCTTTCTCCCAGTCGCTCGCTTCAACCACACACGTCATTCGACGAATCCTCGCCATGAAGTCTTCCAGCTCCTTCATCGCCAGCGCGGCCGGCGCCCTTTTCCTCTCCACCGGCATTGGTATCGCCAACGCCGCCTACTCCATCGCTTCCAACGGTACGCACTCCCTGCCGTCCCCACGACCGACCCAGCCACGACGATCTTCCCCACGGCCTTACTAATACTGTATGCAGACGACATCAAGAACACGGCCAGAGACATCGCCTACGACTTGATGAAGTTTTATGATGGAAACGAGACCGGCCACACGCCCGGTATCTTGCCTGGTCCGCCGCCCGCGGGTGATTACTACTGGTGGGAGGGTGGTGCGCTTTGGGGAACCATGATTGACTACTGGCATCTGACGGGCGATTCCTCCTACAACGACGTCGTCATGCAGGCCATGCTGCATCAGGTCGGGCCCAACCGCGACTACATGCCTCCCAACTACACGGCATCGCTGGGTAACGACGATCAAGGGTTCTGGGGCATGTCCGCCATGACCGCCGCCGAGAATAACTTTCCCAACCCGCCGACCGACCAGCCCCAGTGGCTCGCCCTCGCCCAAGCCGTCTTCAACACCATGGCCAGCCCTGACAGACACGATAACACGTGCGGCGGTGGTTTGCGCTGGCAGATTCCTCTATCTAACAACGGATATAACTACAAGAACAGTGAGACGACCCGGCTGCTCCTAAGTGACCACAGAACTGACCCAATCTAGGTATTGCAAATGGCTGCTTCTTCAACATCGGTGCCAGATTGGCCCGCTACACCAAAAATACGACTTACTCGGACTGGGCCGAGAAGACCTGGGACTGGGTTGAATCTGTCGGATTCATCGACGCTGACTACAACATTTACGACGGTGGCCACGTCGAGCACAACTGCACGGATATCAACAAGGCCCAATTCTCCTACAACAACGGTGTTTACATGCTCGGAGCCGCCCACATGTACAACTTTGTAAGTATCGACTGCGCCCTGAAACTCGGATATCATATACTTACAAACTCAGACGGACGGAGACGCCAAGTGGAAGACCCGCCTCGACGGTCTCATCCAGGGTACCATGAATGTGTTTTTCCCCAACAACATCGCTTTCGAAATTGCCTGCGAGGAGCACAACACTTGCACCACCGACATGTTGAGTTTCAAGGGCTACGTCGCCCGCTGGATGGCCATTGTCACCCAGATTGCACCCTACACCGCCGACAAGATCCTCCCTGTCCTCCAAACTTCAGCAGACGCTGCAGTGAAGCAGTGCACGGGACAAGCCAACCAGCGCACCTGTGGCTTCAAATGGAGCACGGGTACTTACGATGGCACGATTGGCGCCGGCCAGCAGATGAACGTCCTCGGCGCTGTGTCATCGCTTCTTATTGGACAGGCCAAGCCGCCCGTATCGAACAGCACTGGTGGTACTTCCCAAGGTGACCCGAATGCCGGCAGCAACTCGAACAACGACCTGGGCGTCCACAACACCCCCATCACGACGGCAGATAAGGCCGGCGCCGGCATCCTGACCTTTTTGGTCCTGGCATCTGCCGCGGGTACATTCGGGTGGATGAGTTTTGGGGCGTAATGGATTTGCAGCATATAACGACTTGATATTTGTTATTTCGCATGCAGCATTGCCACGGCTCTGCTGGCAGGTCGCCGGGATCAATTCGGCGCCTGTTCTCTAGGGATGTACCGGCGCAGGCCAGGGAAGGCCAGGGTTGTTGATTGGATATTTGGCGTTGCTCCTTTTTTGTATATGCGCTGTGGATGGACACGGGCGCAACCGTCGTCAAGTCACCCAGCGCTCCCCGACGATGGGCATTGGGTAGCCCGTGATCGCGGAAGTCCTAGTAGTCTATAATGTAGCTGTCCTACACAACACATAGTTTCCTAGAATAGACACATCGTCACTGAGACGATTGTTACCAGCACACGAACGTTCAGTGGTCTAGTCGGAGACATCCTTCAAGCATGTGTTTCCCAAATTTTCTTGAAACCGAGTGCATTGAATTGCTGCCAGCGCCATGACGCCATCTTCATCCGATGTCGACAGGCGGAAGGCCCAGACGCTGAGCCTGACATCTGCACACACAAACCCTCTGCAGTCGAACAATCCCGGGGGTCTTCTAGGCCATGTTTCCCCGGGGTTACAGCGTACGTCATCTCGTCATCTGTCGTCTTATCCTGTGGCGGCAGCCGTTTCAGTGAGGCTCTTGAAGCCGCCAAGCGCGTTCTGGCGAAAGACCTTCTCTCTTCCACCCGAGCTTTTGCCGGCGTGTTTCTTGGCCTCAATTCCCCTCTCCCAAATCTGGTGGGTGTCCTCCTCTAAACATCCCACACTCCACTCTACTGGACGCGCAGCCAACCACATTCAGCGAGTCTCATCGAGGGTGGCCCCGTTCGTTTCATCAATCTCTCACTCTCACTCTCACTCACACCATTCAGATATTGCATCTTTCTCAGCTAGACTGACGCCTGGAAAGCTTGTCTAATTTTATGAGCGATTGCATCTAAGCGACGGTTAAACAATTGTTTCAATAGCTCTGCAGGCTTCATCATCTATTGTGGTCCTTCCGTCGGCCGGTTTAATCCAAAACTCCAATCCTAGCCGACCTCCACGTCACCCGGACCGCTCACCCGCAATGCCGATCCCGGACCTTACAAACACGACAACCTTCCCGGCCTTTGACGGTCTCCCGATCGAGGAAGACGGCGCCGCGCCCGGAATGGACGCGCGGGAGGAGTGGTTCCTCGTCGCGCAGGTGAAGCAGAACATGACCATCACGAAGCCGACGGTGGTGGTCGCGGACCGCGCGGGGGACGAGTTCGCCATCACGTTCGAGGACCGCGGGATCGACCTGCGGCCGGTGAAGACGGGCTGGACGATCGTGGTGCCGCGGGCGTGCCGGACGGCGCCGAAGGAGGGGAAGAAGGGGTTCGTGAGGGTGGCGGAGGGGAGGGGGACGGGGGTGAAGTATGTGCCGGCGGCGCTGGAGAGGGTCTTTGAGCTGGGGAGGGCGGTGAGGGAGGGCGGCGAGGGGGAGGGGGAGGGAGGAGGTGGAGGAGCGGCGGCGGGGGAGATGTGTGCTGGGTGTGGGAAGGCGGGCGGGGAGGTGAAGAGTTGTACGGGTTGCGGTGTTGTAAGGTACTGTGGGAAGGTGAGTTTCGAGGATGGCGGGACGGTGATTGGGGGACAGGGAATGGTTTGCTAACGTGATGGGTGTAGGAGTGTCAAACGAAGGATTGGAAGACGCATAAGCTTGATTGCAAGGCTTTGAAGGGCATGGTCAACGCGTGGGGGGTATGATGGAGGCCTGTTTGATCAAGCGTGCGGAAAGCATGGATATCTCAAGAGGTCCAGGCCCCTGCTGGTTGCTTATCATAAACCGGTCAGTGAAGTGGCTGACACGAATTATTAAACTCGGATTCTGACAGTATCTAGAGTTCCAGGGGCTCGAGGTTAATAGGAATACCCGATTATTTCTTAATGAGTCCTCTGAAGAACTTGGAAGGAATGAAAGCTTTCTAAGGATGCCAAATTTCCCCCAATCTGCTGCCGATGCTCAAAAGGACCGTGATCAAACCGCATCGCTTTGCCCAAAAAACGCCTGTCTCGCCCTTACCAACAATTATGTATCAGAAACTATTTTGAATGAGTGATGACGAATCGAATGGACTTTCGTAAACAGCAGCCCCCTTTCAACGGTTCCCCCCCCCCCCCCCCCCCTTCATGCTCTCACGTATCCGCCTAGTTGTACAGAATCCGGGCAGCGGTAGGCGGGAACGACACATAATCGTTATCATTCACACCTACCAGCTCCAGCCCCTCAACCGTGCCCGCAGGCTTGCAGTCCGACGGCGTCGAGAGATACGCGCCATAGGTCGCGTCCCAGGTCGCATACCCGCCGTCGACAATCGACACGCGGCCGATGTTGGCGTTGCGCTGGTTGCCGGGGCCTCCCGCGCCCCAGCCGCTGGCGCCGCCCGCGGGCGCGGGCTTGAGCGAGGTGAAGACGTCGAGCTTGCGGCTGCCGCCGGCGTAGGTGTTGCTGTCGGCGAAGAAGGCGAACTGGCACTTCTTGCCGGCGGCGGCGGCCGGGTAGGTGAAGGTCAGCAGGGTTGTGAAGTCGTTGCCGGCGTTCTGGGGGTACTTGGAGACGTATCCCCAGGAGGCCGGGTAGATTGCGCCGTCGCGGACGTTGTACTGGAAGACGGCGGAGGGGGTGAAGTAGGGGCTGCTGGTTTGGCGCTCCTCGACGAGGGGGGCGGGGGCGGCGAGGGCGGAGGTGGCGGCGAGGAGGGTGACGAGGAGCTTGGAGAACATGTTGGGCTGGTTTGAAGAGGACAGTGGCTGTGTGAAGAGGATTTGAGGTGGTTGGGGCTTTCTGAGGTGAAGGGCTTGGGAGTTGGTGATGGGACTGGTGATGATATGGATGGGATTGAGGAAGGTATGTTGCCGTCCCTTTTATATCAACTTCCGACGCCATCATGGTCCTCGTCGTCGAGTCAGCATCGCGGTCACGCCTTCACCGAAGAAAGAGTCTCAAGTGAGCATCGTGGCTTTCCCAGCTGGGGCATATTCGTGGAGGCAAAGTCATCACGCGGGAAACAAGAAAGGCGTCCCGCAACAACGGTCCTTCTCAAAATAGCATCATGGAAGCATATTGCACCGCTCTCACCGACATGAAGCCGCAAACACTGAACACACGAACACACACACAGTACCCTTAGCTCAAGGAGGCTTTTTCGCCCATACGAGCCTCGGCCCTATCCCACGCCGCCGGGTATCGTTCCGGATCAGCCCTGCAGCCCTCCCCTCCCTCTCTTCCCCGCGCAAGCTTGAGCTCAGGCTAGCTCCAAGTGCCGTGCCGCGTGGTAAGAAGCCGGAGACATTTCTGGCACCTCTTCTGGCCGGTGCTACCATAACGCCCGGGAGCTGGGCACATAGGATAGGAAGTCAGCCCTATGACCGACAAATGAGGGGGAGCAAGCTATCAAGCTAAGGCGGGAAAAGCCTACCTGCAGATGACGAGCTCATGTGGAGGAGGCTGAGCTCTTGGAGCTGAAAGTGAGCTTCGCTGGCCAATGGGAGGTGAGTGTTGGGAGGGAGCTTATGTGACGTATCGGGGGCTGCCGCTTGCCTTTGTGGCTTGATAGGCCTTCTGGGGAAATGGAACATGCTGGCGGTGGCTGCGTCGGCTCTCAGAGACTAACTGACGCGAGCGATCGGCCTGTTAGATACACGAGCATCAAGTTGCTGAGGGCATTCGTGACTGTGATCGCCTAGTGCAAGTCTCGTGATGAAGGCTTGGGACATAGAACTCTTGGTGAGTAGAGGTGTAGGTCTCGGTTGGGGCCTATTGGAGTGGTAAGATTCGGGGTAATCTTTGCGGCGGGACAGAAAGATGAGGTTGCTTCTGGCGGGGGAGATGTGGTGGTGTGGTGTTTGTGGGGGGGCTGTGTAAGCCGAGCTGAAATGTCGGGAAGGATTTTAGGCATCGTGATCGGGCGCCCGAGACACGGTTGAGGTCCGCAAGTTGACGTCTGTTTGGGCCCTCGGCTCCCAAAAAACAAAATGGACATTGGCGACCTCTTACTGGCTGGTCAAATGGCGGCGAGCTTGATTGAAATCATCTCGCATCACGCCTCATGAAGTGATCTTCTCACACCATGACGATGTTTTTGAGACATACGAGATTCGGAGGAGGGTTGCGAGAGCTTAGGGTGAGCTTACCTTAGGTGGAAGTCTCAAGTTTTGGTACTTCCCAAATGTTGAGAAGATGTTGAGGTTATGGCAACAGGGAACTTTGGAGCAGTCTAATTATTTCAGAGACAGCATTACGCTCACAGAGACATCTTGAAAAAATGCTGGTGCCTTCGGGGAAGCGGTCAATGAGCCAGCCGCAAGCAATACTTGGTGGAACTGCAGTTTCAGCACGCCCATAGTTGAAATTCCTCATTGGACACGCGTACGGGCATGCAATTGCGTAGCATAGATCGAAGTAACGTTGACTCCGGCGGGATTCGATTAGGCAGACCTGACGCATGTGTGTAACATCCTTTTTTTTTGAGACATATGCACGTCTATCAAGCCACTGAATATCATGCAAAAGTCGTTCTTTCAGCTCGGTTACAGTTTTTGTGTCACCCGACTTTATTAATTGCAAGACCATCCAAGTCTTCCGTGTTGGTGGAGGTAATTCCTGCGGTCCTCTCTTCGGTTGCTCTTCTTGACTTTTCTGTCAGTCCTGCTCTCGGCTTTTGCTCCCGTGTGGCCAATAAAGTCAACTCCTCAAGGCTGAGAAGTATAAGCCGAGTGACTGAGAAACACAAGGCTTCAGAGGACTATCGCAAGGCTTCAATTTTCAAGGCACCCAGAGTCACTAGTTCATCAGAAAAGATATCATTGGGTGCTCAAAGGAAGAGGGTACTGTCTTACGCCCACAAAGAGGGGTTTCTATCACCTCGAGATGAGATGACGAAGACTACAACGACTAACAAGCTATGAAACAAGAAGAGTGATTTGATAAAGCTGTCTATTGACGATAAAGTCCATATGCACCACTTTCTGCCGGGCGATAGCGACACGCCGATGCTTCATGTGTATCCACTAGCACCACACGTCCAACAATCAATATCCCAAGCCCAGAGACCACTGCCAGATGATTGCGTAAAAGCTTGGTCAAAAGTAAAGTTGTAAAACAGACAGGTCCCCGTGCTAGGATCCCACGAAAACGACCGACACCGCGGTGGCTTGCGCGCATCGGTGCACAGCTCATGGCACCCAGCCGGCCCGTCCTCGGGTCCGTCTCCGCTCTCGAACCTCCCCCAGCTCTTGACATCTCCCTCGCCCGTGAACCTGGCCTCAACCTCGCACTTGGCCGTGGGCGACAGGCAGGTCTCAACGGCCGTCGTCGCGGACGTCGTCCGCGTGGGGACCTCGTCGATGGGGCCGAGCTCGCCGCACTCCCAGCACTCCTTGTCCCAGATCCAGTAGCCGCTGCCTGCCTGGGGCCGGGCGACCTCGGAGGCGGGTTTGTTGTGGATCAGGCACTGCCGTTGGCGAAGAAGGATAAAGCTTTGCACTCGCCCCAGGTGCGCTTTGCGTTGCAGAACTCGAGGCATTGTTCCGGGCTTGCGAGGCCGTATTTGTTGCCGAAGGCACCGCCGCTCCATTGGACCTGGACGCCGCACATTGCGCCAGGGGAGAGGCACGGGAGAGACGTCGTGGCTGGGGGTGCGGTTGTGGAGGCGTAGGCACTGGCAAGAGCCAGGCTGGTTATGAGAGCGATGCGATTCATTGCGACCATTTAAGACGTTGATGGTGTGTTGTGTACTCAGCAACTAAGAAACGAAGCGAGGAGTTTGAATGTAGTCACTTAAATACTTGACCTGGCCGTAGGAGGAACTGTTCAGCGGGAACTGTCTTTCCTGTATTCGTAAATTGCAGGCCATGGTGGCGGAGATGCGTGCAGTAGCGTGGTCGGTTAGCTAGTGAAGACTATGCGAGTAAGATCAATACATGCGAGTTGCTTCGTATTATTTCTCGGCATGCTGTAATGTTAGGCGAAGGATTTGCAACAAAGTTCCTCAATTCGCCTGACTAGTTGGCCGATGAGCACTCAATGTTTGCTCGTATGATCATGTTAGCAACATAATGCGGGTTCTGCAATCCTTTGGAGTAAGAATGATACCATAATCGTAAGTCTGCATGAGAATGTCGAATCAATTGCGAGGGAGCGTAATGGGAGTTGTTTTCAATGGTTTTCAATGGAATGGGCGAGAATGACATGAAGGTGATACAACTCGAGGTAATAATTGAGAGGTGGCATAAGAGGAGAACATTACAGCAAATTGCTCAAGGACAACAGGGGCTTGTGTGCGAGATTCTTTGTTAGTGATGTTTGCATCAAAATGAAAAGAAATAAAGTATGTAAACTATACGCCACCTGGGTAGGCTCTCTTGAACACCGACATCAAAGGTCGTCATCCTCGATCTCATACTCCGAGTAATCAGCATCATCGTCTTCCTCCTCTTCATCAGACCTATCGGAGTCATCGGAGTCCTGGGCGGGGTAGTGTTCAGGAGGCAGAATCTCTCGCTTTTTGAGATCCTCCTCACTCATCGGGCCCGGAACATATCGCCAGGTGTCTGTCACGACAACATATTCCATCGTATCCCCATCCCCATGATGATACCACTTTGTGCCTCCCAGAGCACTCTTCCCATGCCACCTCCACTCAACCAGCTTCGTACCCTCGGCGCTTAAATGACCGCCCTCCTCCAAGTACCCAACACTCAGCTTCCACTTCTTGTTCCTCTCCACGATCTTCATCATCGCATCCTTTTTCCGAGTGATGGTCTCGTACTCCACCTTGAGCTCTCTAAGCCCAGGAGGCCCGCTGAACCGCCGCAGCCAATCTTCCTTCATCCGCAGAGGAGTGTCGCTCTCCCAGTACCACCAGTCAGAGTAGCGAATCGTGATGGTGAGCTTCTCCGGGTTGAAGTTTGGCTGGTGGAAGAGGCGATGCAACTCAGTTCCATTTTCAAATCTGAACATCTGCATGAAGAAGCGGACTTTCTTGAGGTCTTGAGATTGTTGAGGCGTGAGCTTGCGGAAGAAGGATAGGCATGAATTCATGCCTGTCCGGCCCTCTGGACCGCGGTCTAGATGCAGATATCCTATTAGTGTCATGAAACCTACATGGAATTGAGACTGACCAAACCAGAAAGCCCATTCAAGCTCTCTCAAGAAGGCCTTTTGACCTTCAAAGTAAGCTGCTTTGCATGTTTGCAGGAGTGCGCTACTGCTCTTTCGCGGACCCGAAAATCCCGGACGATACCAGTAAGAGTCTTCTGGATAAGCATTCTCGCTGTCTTCGTATTGAACAAGAGCGAGCGCGAAGATTTCGTTGCGAATCTCACCCGGCAGGGTGCTGAAGAGTGGGCATTGCAGCTGGGGATTGCATGCTGTCGCCTGTATACCGGTCGCTACTGCGGTGTCCATGATTTGAACGATGACTTGGTTACAAATAGAAGCGCTATTTAGTTAGAGACATAAAGGGCAGAAGTTTCGATGCGGACTGAAATAGTCTGATGTTGTGACACAAAGGCGGGGTTGGGCGCCTCTGCTGCCTGCTGCTGCCTGCTAACCAGGCGGAGTTACTGGAGATGTGGCGTCCATCCGCTCGCCCAACATCTTGCGGCCCAAGATTGGCCCGCCCTGAAGGAGTTGAACAATTGTCACATGACACTGGCTTGCCATTACTTGGTCTATTGAATCTCTCAAGTCTGCAAAGTCGAGTTTGCCAAGTTCTCCATGATTGATATAGCTCAATTAACAAATAAACGAGCGGCGCGGATTATTTCAATGTTCTCTCATAAACGTCTTGACTTCATTTTCTTCGTTCCCTCAAGGCTCGTCCGCCTTGGGAAATGGTTCCAACAAACGGTCATCATCCTCATCGGTACCATCCGATGCTGGAAGTGTCTGTCAGCAGAGTTGAGAGAGAGCAATTTTACCGGGGTTGACTTACCGAGCTGGTCAATCCAAAACGATGCAATGCTGACACCGAATTCACACCCGTTCACTTTCAAAGAGCGGGAAATCTTCCCTTCAGACAATACCTCGTCGTCCAGAAGCAAGCATGATCGCTTCTTCCACGCTTCAGAAGTACCAGCTGGTTGGACGAGTACCAGGCGTTTGTGGGGCACTGTCGGAAACGTACGGTTCCTGAAGCCACGAGCATCGCGCACAAAGTCGCGGTAGCCGTGCGGATTGTCCTTGAATTCAAAGGTCAAGCAAAATAATTTGCCGTCCTTAAGCAAATCGCCTTTAGTGTCAGAAAGTAGGGGGGGTAGGGTTTTCTTGGTCCCCGGCGCAATTCGAATTCTCCAGACTGGCTCGTGTCCTGAGGTTGATATGCACGGCGTAAAGAAGCCAGCCGAAGTGCGAAGAACGGAGAGGAAATGAGGTTGAAAATGAGGTTGGTATCGGTTTCTTCTAGTACGGATAGTAACAGCAGATCCATCACGCAGCTGTGACGGGGAAGTAAAAGTGTCAGAAGTCAGCGCAAGGAATACCGCATGGCGTTCATAGACGATGGTACTCACATGACCCGCGTCACGATTCTTGATAGTCCAGATTCCAAAGTCCGGGTTCTTTCCCCAACGGGCATGATCGTAAGCCATTACTTGAGGCCCCGAGAATCTGTTCGTAGGTGTCAGCATCCGGCAAGATTTGATATTTCGTGTTGAAGATTTTCACTTTCCTATTGGGCACAATGGCCTGTTCACCAACACTGTCAAGTTGGACTGCTACCGAATCGTCGTGAACGAGGTACTGATCTTGATCATCTGCTTTGGTTCTCAATCGAAGTTGAGCAAATAGTTCACCACTCGAGGTGACGTCAATGTGATCAGACATGTGCTCTACCGATTTGGCGCTGGAGAAGAGCTTAACGACATCTCCCAGCTCTGACACTTCACATCCGGCCATGGACTCCACGATGCTTTTCAAGTCGGCTCGCTGCAAAGGATTAGCCGACTGATCTACAGAAACAAGCAGTTATTTCCGCGGTAAGGAGTGACACACTTCGATAACCCTCCAATTCTCGTGGTTAGTCACCGATTGACACCAGCGCTGAGGACTGTGCGTGTGTTAGCAACGCTACAGAATAGCGGGATGTCCAGGTTGATGCACCTGGATGCTAGAATGGTGTTGCCGCCGATGGCTTCGAACACCACCTGCTCACTATCGTTCCTGCTACCATAGCTGTTGCTTTGATCTGTATCCTGTGATTCCTGACGAGTGTAGCCGCCCCCAGCATCTATGGGCTACAATGAAAAGGATGTTAGATTCGGCAATGAGTGTCGTTGCAAAGAGGTTAACTTGCCGAGGAAATTGCGAGGCCAATCGTTCGCTTGAAATCTTGCTTAGACTTTTCCTGCAAGGTCTGCTCGCTTGCTTCTCGAGTTTGCGTTGAAGTCAACATTCCGCCGATGGTTACCTCATGTGCGAAGAATTCACCTGCACATTGAGTCAGTCGTAGACTCAGACACAGATCGTAAGCGAAGGGCTCAGGGCACAAACCAAATGTCATCTGGAATTTACGGATGTTCACCAGGGTGTTGTCTTTCTCGACCTTTTTGAGCTCCTTCATAAGTTGAGGAGTCGGCTCAAGGTCGTCTGGGGTTAGAAATAGTGTGGCTCGGGGCAGCTAGATCGATAGATCAGTATGTTGGCTGTCACTGCATCCACGCTTTCGGCAAAAGCGCAGAGTCACGTACCTTGTACTGTCCAACTAAAGTCTTATTTGACTTCGTCTTCCCCTTCTCTTGTCCTTTCTGCATCTGCAGGAGAGTGTTTGCACTCATGCCAATGCTCACTTTGGAATAGCCGCCGTTCAATTTCGCATCAACTGACGATTTGGCGAAGCTGTTTTGCACCATGGACTCTCTTACACCTTCTTCAACGTCAATCACATCGATTTTGCTGCCGTCGTTGACGCAATAGTTCGGGATGGCACCGCCGTCAGTTGTCTATTTGGCATCAGCATCTCGAGAGCCATCAAAAGTAACGAGTAGAGATTGGCATCATTGCAAAAAAAGAAAAAGAAAAGAAAAGAAATAGAAAGAAAGAGAACTCTGTAAATATCGATGCATAGTGCATAAACAAGCTCAATATCATGGATGGAACATACCTGGGAATTGTTGAGTCCCTTCCTCAAGATAAAAGCGGGTTTTGGGGCCATTTTGATCTGATGAGTCTGAGGATCGGTGTACCAGCCATGCATGACGTTGCAGTTCTTCATTATGATGTTCCAATCCTTTACTTCGAGAGTCGATGGGGAACTATTGTTGATTTAGATTTAGTTCAGACTAATCTAGACCGACATTCATTTTCGAGCGCAAAGTGAGAACGAGGAAAACTTACATGATCTTCTCTGTCATTTCCATCTTGAGCATATCTTGAGTGATGGAGCTTGGCCTGGATTTCAAGTCAAGATACGAACTAGAGGGTGAACCAAACATGGCCCCGGGATTCTAGGATAAAATCAGTATCATGCCCGCAGAAGTCCAGCATAAATATTGACATACATCATTCTTTTGCATTATGACCCACTTGGAAACTCTGCAAAATGCCGAATAGCAATAGGCTGGGACGAATAAGTGAACAGTGCAAACTCGATCGTCTTCGAGCGTGCATGCGATCACTCTGACAGTTCATGCAGTAATTAAGTATCACCAAGGAAAGCCTAGACTACGGGAAGAAAATGTTAATGTTTTCGTTCACGTGGTGTTGAGATGGCTGAGCTGAAGAGCGCGTTCGGAATGAGACACATGGTCTCATCCGCTTTTGTATATTCCGCCGTTGTGTAGGTGTTTGGCCTTGGCTTCGACAGGACGCCACAATAACAGTTAGTCTCACGGATGCAGAACTCTTGTGTCTCAGACGAAGGTCTCGTTCCACGTGGCTTGAAACATCGCCAAATCTAGAGTTTGCAACGAAATATATAATATGACATGGAAAAGTGGAATGCCGAACTCGATTCACCACGCGCTTGCAGACAATCTGATCACAAATCTTGCAACGAATTTGCTCCGATCATGGCCGTTGGTTCCAAATCTCACCTGGCATCTTTCCTCCAAAGAGAGGCAGAGAAATGGCGGGGCCACCAAGTTGTCGTCTGGAAATGTGACAAGGGAGAAATCGAATTCTCCTGCGACACTCTACACGCTCACTTCGACCAGGGAGGAATGAAGCCCCATAACATGTGGGGGAAGGGCAGTCACAACTACGGACTGTGTGTCATACTACATGGTACTTTCCGTTACATCAACTCCTCGGTGAACAAAGACAAGTAAGTTATTCAGGAGAGTCTGAGAACTTCGACAGTTTGGTAACGATTTGCCCACAGTCACAACCTTTGGGTTTTATCAAATTCAACACAACCAGATGCGTGCAAGTTTAACGAAGAGAAGGGCGTCTCTTTCGCAGCACAGTAAGAGTCACCATTTCTTGTTTCGGCGACTCCTTGTAACTTGCTGATCATCATATTACAATAGGCCCCGACTGAATTCAACTTCGTGGATGAAGTATCTTAGCGATGAGTTACCACTTGACAAGGTGACACTTCCAGGAACCCGTTACAGCTGTGCTTCTGCCTCAAATATCGAAGACGCAGATGTGCACATTGAACCCGAAAACGAGACCCTCATTGAAAAAATCAAAGAAATGCACAAACACCACGACGATTCGATTTCCCAGCAGCTAAATAAGGGGATACGACTACTTGACATCTGTTGCGGAGTCGACAATTTCGTTTCACATGGGCCTTTGACCATCGCAAATACGTATGTGGAAGATGCCTTGGATGCCGTCAAGAAATTTGTAAAGAAACACGATACAGAGACCGTCGTCGTGTCGCTCAATTGGTCATCCTCCTGCGTCAAAGTCCTGGATTCTGCCAAACCTTGGCGGGGAGGGGGGTCCTCAACTCATGACGATACAATCCCGCCCGGCTTCCGCGATTACATTAAGGCGATCACCAAAGACGAAGTTTTCTACACTGGAAACACCTGGCCGAAGCTCAGCACCGCTCGCGGCAAGGTGGTGATTGCCTGCGGGTGGAAGACCGGTGATCACGACCATGGGGACCACTGGGGAGTGCATTATCAGCCACCAAAATGGCAGTTGGCTCGTTTCTCTACGCCATACGTACTGGACGAACTAATTAGCGAAAGGTGGGAAAAGATTCAAAACGAGCTTCACACATCCCCGCGTAAGCACCAGGCCGTCGTGCTTGCCGCCTCACTTCAGCATGATCCATACACGGAGACCGGATGGATTGAGCCACGCAAGACAGCCGTTGGTCTCCAAGAAATATTGAGAAAACACATAGAAGAACAGAGGAAGAAGATATGCGGGCTATGGGTCCATGGTGACTTCATGGAGAAAGACACGATTATGGCGATAGCCAAGCTCAACTGGGAAGGCTTCAAGAAGAATGAGCGGCGATTCCAGTTGGGCATATCTCCTTCTCAGGCCCAGCAGGCACTTAGAAAGGCAATCTAGACACTGTAGCAAATCCTCAAAGGACTCTAGCACAAGGCTACATACTATTACCGCTCGAAATTCGAATCACAACTTTACAAGTTCGCTTGATGAGTATCATTCGCACTCTGTACCGGGCGCTGCACGGATACTCAGTTCGGTCTCATAATATCCGCAGTCACACTTGGGGATCTTGGGCATGGATGAAATTGGGAAATTTCGGGATGCAGGCTGCCCACCTAGGCGACCCCTTTGTGAAACCACCATCAAGTCGCACTCGAGAAGGGAAAGCGCCTGGCGTATTCATTCGTTTCTTCCCGACCGCCTGTCTCGGCTCTTGAGTTTATGAGTGAGACATGGCACGAGATCAACGTCGTGTGCGGAATTTGCTTCCCACGCAGCCAACATGAGACACGGCCTGCTGAAACAACAAGACGCGAGTCGGATTGTGGCAACATAGGAAGCATCATATTGTTCTTGGCATTGCCGATTGGAGGATTGAGTAATATGTCTTTTCTGCGCGCAGAGATTGCAGTAAATAGTTTGGCTCAAAGCCACAGGCTTCCCTCCCGCTTGCCACTGTAACCCGCAAACAGAACGCCACCATCCGTTCCGCCTCCGAAAACTCTCACGTCCAATGAATGACGGGCTTGATAACCTTCAAAGTGATCAGCTGGCTGAATCATGTATGAAATCTGATCGTACTTACCTGGCCGGTGTGCATATCATGAATTGCTTGGTTGAGCTCAGAGGCTGGATACGTCTTGCATAGCCTGTCAATGGGGAACTTCCCCTCTTGGTGCATTGAAATCAACTTTGGAATGAAGTCTGGGGGGTATGAGTCGCCTTCAATGACACCAATGAGTCGCTTATTTGCCAACAAGAACGCCTGTGCGTCAATCTTGATGTCAGCCGCTGGCGGTGGCACGCCGACAAGTACTGCAGTACCAAGAGGCCTGACGCATGCAATCATGTCCTCAATGACCTTCAGAACGCCGGTGCAGTCGATCGCATACATGGGACCTCCGTCGGTAGCCTTCTGGATATCACGAACGATTTCTGAACTCTCTTTCGAGTTGAATGTGTGAGTAGCTCCAAGCTCCTTGGCTAGCTCGAGACGGCCGGGTACGATGTCGATGGCAATGATCTGGCCCACCTCCAAGTACTTCGCCGCCATCAGAGCAGCGAGACCGACGCTTCCCAGGCCGAAGACGACAATGGAGTCCGTCTTCTTTGGCTTGATCATATTCAAGACAGTTCCGGCGCCGGTCTGGAGCCCGCATCCGAGCGGGGCGTAAACCTCCATGCTTGCCGCTGCCGATTCCGGGCAACGGACAACTGATTGCCCGTTGACGACAGACATTTTGCAGAAAGACGAGTGCCCGAAGAACTGACTTCTCACTGAACGACCGTCGGCGAGCCTTCCGGGGGTACTCTTATCGCTGCGGACGGATCCAATGTTGAGTTTCGAAGATTCTGGGCAAAGAGCCGTGTGGCCACTCGCGCAGGTGTCACATGCGTTGCAGCTTGTAAAGGACAGGAGGACATTATCGCCCAAAGCCAGATCCTTGATTTTGACGTCTTTGCCGATTCCGCGAACGATACCAGCTCCCTCGTGGCCGAAGATGGCTGGGAACTCAATCATGGGCAAGCCTCCCTTCTGGGTCACGACGTCTGTGTGGCCTAGAGCATAGATGATGAGACCACTGATTGCTACCTTGCGATGTGAGAGAGAATCTCAACTTACAGACGCCACTGTACTTCATCTCTACCAAAACCTCGTTGGGTCGGATCTCGTCAAGTATGACTGGAACCAGCTTGAAGTCTGCGTTGACCTCCTCCACGACATACCCGACTGTCTCAATGTTCTTTTGGTCGCTACCGTTGGAAGCATTGTTGACGGCCTGCCCGGCAGCACGCTCGATATGTTCAACATGCTCGACATGCTCGGAATTGGCGTCGGCCTTCAAGCCACCACGTGGTACTCCAACTTGCGTCGCGGGAATGGTTGCCATTTTGTCAAGTCAGGTACTGAGAAGTGAGGTAGGATGGTTCAGATGAGCCGACGAAGCAGATGTTGATATTTGGTCCTATTTAAACGATATGAAGTACGGAACAAAATTGCAGCAACGGAATAATAACGCCGACCGACAGGCGGCCGCCTTATCGCCACGTCTGTCTTGGTCCATAGACCTGATACTGGTCCAAACGTCGGAACTCTCTCCAACCCCTCTGACGCGGTTTTCGGTCTCGGCAACCCCATGCCAGTGGATACCTGGGGTCCCGGTTTGCAGCTCGAAAGGCCGGGCAGACCCAGCACGAGAGTTTCCGTTTTTGCGGGGGATGCGGGGAAGGATAGTCAACGGCTAAGATCACGGCATGAGAGTTTGGAAGCATAAGGTGCAGAAGAAGACAATTGGACGAGATCCGTGCCACCGACGGTGGGAAAGCATTAACCGTCCGGTCTTTATGTGGGTTGGGACGACTTTCAGGTTGTTGCGAAGGGGGACAACTCGACGGAACAGGGGCTCGGAAGTTTGGAATCGGAATGCAGCGCCGCAGAGGTCGGAAATGGGCCGGAAACTTTTAAAACACTGTATATCAGACCAAATCAAACCGTCTTCTATCTCTTTGACTATTGTCATAAAGAACTAGCGAGAGCGAATGTCCTGCAGGTGACCGCATAGCCGCATCTTCCAACCGATACCCGTACTGCCGAGACTGGGGTCCGGGTCTACCGGATAGCTAGGAGGACTTGGCCAATGCACATACCGCGGACGATGTAACGAATCGTTATCATCAGCAGGACTATTGGTCCTCAGCCATCGTAGGTAAGCCTCACTACCTCGGCGGAGAGTTACAGTCATGTCAGGCGGATCAGCTGTACTTATGGACCCGAGCT